AGAACAGGCATTAATTATGGCTAATAGGTCCACCAGAGAAGTAAAAAAAATTTCCCATGTACCATAGTAATTTCCAGCAGGATAATAATTGCTGCATTTAGCAAAATGGAGAGATGAATAACAGTTCACCTGGCATATTCTAACAACTGTTATAGTAAAAATATTTTTGAATCCAGCTCAAATTGCATGACATTTCAGAAGTACTGTATTCCTAAAATGGTGAACATGATGCCCAGGTGTGGCTGGGCACCCCCTTTTTTCAAATATATTGTACCCTGATTCAAAGTGAATTTTTAAAATATTTTTAAAAATACAAACATGATGCCCAGGTGTGGCTGGGCACCCCCAGCTTGTACTGTACTAAATTTACTAAATGTACGATATATTTACTCGCATGTTAAATTGATTGCATATTTTATTTGATATAAGAACTGTCTCCGAAGAAATATCATCGTCTCTCTTTGATTTGAAGTTGAATTATCCATTTGTCACACTCATCCTTGCCGGGATTCTTGTCGTTATTCTTGTGCCTATTCTCATCGTGCTGGTTGTGAACGCATCCAAAACCGGCTCAAACCGGTTTTCGTCAAGTGAGTACTCATTAAATTTTCGAAATTTTATTCAATCACGGGCTTCTGCTGTGTTGACTAAATTTACCTGGATGCTTCGGTTTTGGAAATAATTCAATACTGTACTAAATTTACTAAATGTACGATATATTTACTCGCATGTTAAATTGATTGCATATTTTATTTGATATAAGAACTGTCTCCGAAGAAATATCATCGTCTCTCTTTGATTTGAAGTTGAATTAAATTACTACGTATGTTATCGAGTACCATTCGCACGGTTTTTTTCTAGTTTGGGAAGAAAAAAGAAAAGAAGAGTGGTGCGCGTCTTAGGTGGGCATATATTTTTCTGAAACGTTGTAACGTTTTAAAAATGTTCGTTTGTATTGTATTAAACCTCATTCTGAAAGGAAATTTCGGAACAAGTTCGACATGATGACTTATTTTTTGGAAAACGTTGATAATTAGTCGAATTCATGCCCAATTTCAAAGTTGGCGATTTGAGTTCTCTTATTTTTTAATATTTTTGTTTTAGAGCTGGGGGAGGATTTTATCAAAATTTTCAACTGGAAAACCCCAGTACGTGTCTTACTCGAGGGTGCGTGGTATTCGAGAAAATATGGTATTTATTCTGAAAAATGCGACGTTTCGAGTAAAATTTGAGTCTTCAGGTTCAACTGAACAAAGTTTCCACAAATTTTTCTGTTCGAGGGCACAAGATTTGAGATCGTGTAAATTTCTAGAACACGCTGGTGCAGTACAGTATGTGAAACTCAATTATGGACATTCGAGCTTCGGCGGCGTTTCGGTTGGCTGTATTCATTGAAATTTTATGCAGAAATTGTAAAAAAATAATTGTATCATGCACAACATCCCTTTCTGATTTTCTGCGTTTTTTTTTTCAAGATTCCAATGACTATTCCGGGCATAAAAGCTACGGAGGTGTGTCGATCGACAGTCAGGCTGATTACGACGTTGGCGACGGAACAGGCTCTACATTCTACCTTCCTCTTCCGGATCCTCCGACTCCCAGACTGAGTTCTCTTATTTTTTAATATTTTTGTTTTAGAGCTGGGGGAGGATTTTATCAAAATTTTCAACTGGAAAACCCCAGTACGTGTCTTACTCGAGGGTGCGTGGTATTCGAGAAAATATGGTATTTAATCTGAAAAATGCGACGTTTCGAGTGACATTTGAGTCTTCAGGTTCAACTGAACAAAGTTTCCACGAATTTTTCTGTTCGAGGGCACAAGATTTGAGATCGTGTAAATTTCTAGAACACGCTGGTGCAGTACAGTATGTGAAACTCAATTCTGGACATTCGAGCTTCGGTGGCGTTTCGGTTGGCTGTATTCATTGAAATTTTATGCAGAAATTGTAAAAAAATAATTGTATCATGCACAACATCCCTTTCTGATTTTCTGCGTTTTTTTTTTCAAGATTCCAATGACTATTCCGGGCATAAAAGCTACGGAGGTGTGTCGATCGACAGTCAGGCTGATTACGACGTTGGCGACGGAACAGGCTCTACATTCTACCTTCCTCTTCCGGATCCTCCGACTCCCAGACCCCCCCAATGTTCAGATATGCCGGAACAACTCCGATTCGACTGCTACCCGGAAGGAAGCACGAGCAAGGCGAGCTGCGAACGTAGAGGCTGTTGTTGGCTTCCGGACGTGAAGGGCGACCCCGCCCGGGACCCTCCGTTGAATGTGCCGTATTGCTTCTATCCTGCCTTGTATCCGTCCTACATTGTGATGAACGTTTCGGATGCGGAGTACGGCAAGACGTTGTTTCTCACGCGCGTGTACGCGTCTGGTTATCCGAGTGACGTTCCGTTGCTGAGAGTGGACGTGAAGTTTGAGACGGACAGTCGATTACGTGTTAAGGTACGTTTGGGTTTGTTTGGCATTTTTGATGAAATTGAATAGGAAAACTTGTAGAAGTATTGTACTGTATTTAAAAAAACTTTTAATTGAAAAGATTCTTTGAACGTACCGGATTGAGTCCCACTCTTCTCTTTCTTCGCCAAAAATTCCCACCAAAAATCACGCATTTCTGCATGCAAGACTTTTTGCTCTTGGAAAGGTATGTTATAATAAAATTTACCCACCTTGTCGAACTCCACGTGAATGAAGTTTCCACTGATGAAACCCTCGGTTTTCGGTTTGATTCTGGATCACGTAGGGTTGCCATCCTTGAACGCCAGAACGATGGAAAATATGCTAGGGTAAACTTGAATTTTTGGAGTTGTTGTAATGTACTTTTTTCGCTCTCTAAAATGTGTTCTATTAGGGTACAATAACAAGAGGTTGAAATGTTTAAACGGAAGTCCTGGAAAGCTGTGTCAGGGTCAGCGGCAGCTTTCACGTTGAAATAGTTGAGGACATGTTTTATGATTTTAATTATAATAATTTTTTTTAAATTAATGTGTAAATCATTCATATTCTTTAGATATATGATCCGTTGAAAAAGCGTTACGAAGTACCATGGCCACAAGTTCCGGATGTTCGAACTGCAGCAAAAAATCCGCTGTACGAATTCGATTATAGCTTCCGGCCATTCGGTTTCCGGGTCATTCGCAAAGACAATGGACAAGTTGTGTGAGTATTTTTTTTCTTGCTATCAGAAGGACTGAAAAAATTTATTATGCAAGTACTGTATTATGTATAGAATTTATTGTTCGTGGTTTCGCTTGAATTCTCTGCAGGTTCGATACCAAGGATGTTGGATCCTTGATTTTTGCCGACCAAATGCTCCAGTTGTCTTCCAAATTGCCTTCCTCGTATATTTACGGGCTGGGGGAACATCAGGATAATTTTCTGCTTTCCACTAATTGGCGGAAGTTTACATTGTTCAATCATGATCGGCTGCCGCAGGAGAAGGTAATGTTAACTGTACATCATTTGTTGAAGTCAGCTTAATTTCATTTTTATTGGAAAACCTGTTTAGTTGAACTTGTACGGAAGCCATCCGTTCTATTTGTCAATGGAAAATACTGGCAGAAGCAACGGGGTCTTCATGTTCAACAGCAACGCTATGGGTCAGTATTGTCCTACTCTATATTTTGGGGGTTCTCAACTCTTTTTTTTTTTTTACTCGCTCAACCCCTTGTATTATGGATTTGTTAGTTTAGTCCCTTGTGAAATTTTTTTCTGCCTGAAATCTGAGAAGTAGGCCCACCTTTTCCGGGCTCTAATTTGGATCTGAAGTATTAACATCTTCCCTCCAAAAATATCAATTATATTTTTTTGATTCGCATCTCTTGTTTCCTTGAAAGATTATTGTTTTTTCATTTTTTCGGAGCAGCCGCGGAGCCCCTAAAAGTACAAACAGAGATCCAAGGCTCCGCGGAAAACCCGTTGAGAACCTCGTGTCATATTTTATTTTATTCGAAGTTTTGCGCATTTTCCGATTATTTCTTCTTGTCAGACGTACTTATTCAACCGACGCCAGCCATAACTTTTCGAAGCATTGGAGGCATCATGGATATGTACTTCTTCTTGGGTCCTTCGCCGAAAGACGTCATCGAGCAATACACCACACTCATCGGTCGACCTCACATGCCCCCATTTTGGGCTCTGGGTTTCCATTTATGCCGGTTTGGTTGGAAAAAGTTGTCGGATTCGGAGGATGCGTTGGCAAGAACGCTGAAGAATCAGATTCCTTTGGTACGTATGACTGATGACCTCAATTTATGATCATTTCTGAATTTCACAGTTTATGCTTAGTCTATTCTGAATTTCACAGTTTATGTTAGTCTATGTGCTTGAAGGCTTTTTTCTACAACGATATTTCTCTCAGAACTGATTTTATTCTGCTCCCAGTGACACTGTTAATAACCTCGGACAGCTTCTATACTACAGTCTCTATCCAGCACTGTACAACAGATTATTAATGGGTGCTGAGGGTGACTAAAATAATCGAGTACCGTAAGCGCAAGTGCGTAGATGTCGATTCATGAAGTCCCATAACACAAAGATTTGTTATCGGAATGTGATTTAAGCCAACCTGAAGTAATTGATGATTATATTATAATTTTCCCCTGATGTCCCCGGAGATGCATTATGTTGTTTAAATTACAGACATTTTCTATGAGACGATTCAACATTTTCCGTGCATAAAGCGGTTAATGACCTCGTATTGATATGTGCAAATTTGTTTTTCTACAGGATGTTATGTGGAGTGACATAGATTACATGGATAAATGGAAAGATTTCTCGTACGATAACGAATCGTATGCCGGTCTACCGGAGTATGTGAATAAGCTGCACGCTGGTGGATTGCATTACGTACCAATCATCGATCCTGGTATTTCAAGTGCCGAAGAACCTGGTACTTATTTACCATTTGACGAAGGGAAAGAACTCGGAATTTTCATCAGGAACGTAACCGGGGATCTTTTCATTGGGAAGGTAGGAGTTGGATTTTTTTACGGTTTCTAAAGATATGATTTCCTGAAAAACGAACTTATTTCAAATTGAAGGTGTGGAATCCCGTGTCAACCGTTTGGGTAGACTTTACCCATCCTAAGGCGACTCCTTACTGGACTAATCAGTTGACGCGGTATCACATGCAAGTGGAATTTGATGGAGCGTGGATCGTGAGTTTTTTTTTTTTTTTTTCTGCTGTTAACTGAAAAATGTCCGTTCTTAGCAATCATGTATGTGTTGTTTGCAATTCAATGTTTTGAATATACGCAATATTACGTAGAAGAAAGTCATTTTAACTAGGTCAGTTGAGCACTCCATAATTCAGTTTCTTTGCTGATGAGCGATTAATTTATCCATCAATCATTTCTTGGATCAATTTTATAAATTTAAATGATACAAGTATAGGGAATAGAGGGCTGAGTTTGCTTATTTCAGCAATTTATGATAAGACTGGAACAATTAATGTAAAGGAATAGAGAAGGCACTAGGCGCCCAAACCCTGTCCACATTTCTGAAGACTATCGTAAAAGTCGTTGAAAATTTTCGATCACATTTCTATTTTCGACAATTCAACCACTTTCTGAGCTGCTGATCTGCAAGTTCGAGTATACCACTAATTTGGAACACATTTCTTTCCTCTGTTAAACTTGAAAGTTGCACTTGCTGAACTGTCAGCATCACTTTAAAGATTATGATGATTGGAGATGAATTCGGGTTTTGAACTGTGGATCGTGAAGTACGGTAGTGTATCTTCAACCGCGCGGAAATCCTATACCTCACGTAATTGAGAATTCTACTGACTGACGTATGTCGCGTTTTTTAGCGAAAAATTTGTTAGAGTAATACCATAGTTGTGTCTTCGCGTGCTGATTCCATGTGTCGATTTCTCTTTCAGGACATGAACGAGCCATCGAACTTTTATGACGGAGAGATGCACGGTTGCCCCAAGAATGACGCTCTCGAGCAACCCCCGTATTTGCCAGGGGTGGAAGGAGGAAAGCTGGCTTTCAAAACCGTTTGCATGACAGCGAGACAACACGCATCCGTCCACTACAACGTTCACAATTTATACGGATTCACGGAGTCTATAGTGACCAATTTCGCACTCACCGACATTCGTCAAAAGCGACCGTTCGTCATCTCCAGGTCCACTTTTCCGGGCCAAGGCCGGTTCGGTGGACACTGGACCGGTGACGTGGTGTCCACGTGGAACGCCATGTCGAAATCGATCCCGGCCATGTTGAATTTCAACATGTACGGGATCCCGTTGGTGGGCGCGGACATCTGTGGCTTCAACGGGAACACGACCGTGAATCTGTGCAAGCGGTGGTCCGAGTTGGGCGCGTTTTATCCCTTCTCGCGGAATCATAATTCTGAGGGGAACGTTGATCAGGACCCTGCTGCTCTGGGTCCAGACGTGGTCAGGTCTGCGAGGACGTCGTTGCGGTTGCGCTACAGGTTGCTGCCGTATTTGTACACGCTGTTTTGGAAGGCGCATTCTTTGGGCCAAGCTGTAGTTCGTCCTTTGTTCTTCGAGTGAGTTCAATTTAAGTGTCATTTTTTTTTTATTTGAATCCAATTTTAGAGGCGTTACATTTTTATGTATTGTTTCTATTTTTTTAAGGTTTCCGGAAGACGAAGAGACTTACAAGATTGATAATTGCTTCTTCTGGGGCGCTGGATTGCTGATAGCCCCAGTTCTGAATGTAAGTACTGTAATAAGATCGCGTTCAGGATTCCTCCCACTTCAACGTCCACGTCTTGATATTTTGACAATCGGGAAGATGTCAAGTGGATTAGTAATCCTCACTTTCATAATCTAGTAATTAGCTGAACATTGGGTACAGCACTGTAATGGACTACTGTACAGTATTCTAATTAATCTAACATAAACCGTGTGTCGTATTTCTTGAAGTACAGTAATGAAACCGAATATGGACAAACTTGGCGTCACCTATTTAATCGCAAATAAAACGGCGCATGCTTGACTTCACTGCTGTTGTCTGATTCCGTGAGCCCATGCATAGATACCATCATAAGGAAAGCGAATTTTTCTTATTCCATTTTAGTTGTTGGGTGTGTTGAGATTCGAAAATGTTGTCCGTGAAGGGCAATGACGATGATTTTTTTTCGTGCGAGATTTTATATTTTCTTTTATTGTTTCAGGAATACGACGAGAGCTATAACTACTTACCTGCTGGGCTTTGGTATAAATTGAGCGACGGAGCTATCATAAATAGCACCGGTGCGATATACACCTTAAAGCCACCTCGCGGCGCCCCAACATTACTGGTCCGAGGAGGTCATGTGCTGCCAGCGATTCAACCCGCTCAAACTACGACAGAAATGTAAGTTAAATCTCAAAATTGTGTCTCTTATACTGTACATACAGATGCCATGATGTTTTCCAAATACTGTAGTGCGCAAAATATTTTGCGTAGTTGGAAGTCGCAAAAATGTTTATTTATTTATTTTTCATGCAGTGTTTTCACGATTTCAGAGCAATTTTTACAGTTCCCAGCAGAATAATCACGGCACTTTTGTTAACGAGCAAACAGCTTTCGTATTCTTGGAGACATGATGGGTAATGATAATAGGAAGAAATGTAGTTTCAGCGTACCGTAATTTCAAGTGAAATGATATTCACGAGACGCTCTCTTGAAATCATTAAAAGTTGAAACTATAGCATGACGATTTGCATGAATTTAAGTTCAGTAAATAATTCTTGGGTCGTGTCTTGAAAGGAGTTCTAGCATATCTGAAGGTTAAATTGCTGTGACATTTTATGTAATATTTTCGATTGATAGCTTTGAATGTCTTCAATTTATCTTGAGCACACGTATTTTCTTTCGCATAGGCGAAGTAAGCCGTTTGAGGTGATAGTCGGATTGGACCATCGTGGAGAAGCCTTCGGTGAATTGTATTGGGATGACGGTGATTCCATTGGTAAGCTATATTTTTAATTCTTTTGATGTGTTGTGTATTTCAATTTCTTTTTGTCTTTCTTTTTCAGGAACGTGGGAGAAAAGATTCTTTAATCTCATAGAATTCCGAGTGAAGGATCAAAAGCTGAGAGCATCCGTGAACAAATGGGGATACGAGTCGACCATGAATCTCTCCAGGGTATCCATTTTTGGGGTAACTGTACGTTCGGAATCTGCGAATGTAACGCGTGTTGTTGTGAACAATGGTACTGTAAGTTCAAAATTTGTATTTGACCAGAGAAGTGGGCAACTAGACATAACTCTGTTTTCATCCTTGGCTCAACCCTTAACGGTTGAATGGTCATGAACGACTTCAGCGAAAAACTCCCTTTTTTGTTTTGTTACGGTACTCATAATTCGTAGCTTGGCTGTGATATTGAACGAACGAAATCGTCGATCTGTTCGGATCGCGTTGGTTCTTTGTATGCGTTGATGATGCGAAAGGCAAGGTGCGGTGGACGTTGTTGGGCTCGGTATCAGTCAGTTTGCTTGTTTCCTTGTGTTCCCTCAGCATATTGTACATATGAAGGGCATTGTTCTATGGTATGGTTTCCTTGGCTCAACCCTTAACGGTTGAATGGTCATGAACGACTTCAGCGAAAAACTCCCTTTTTTGTTTTGTTACGGTACTCATAATTCGTAGCTTGGCTGTGATATTGAACGAACGAAATCGTCGATCATGCGTTGATGATGCGAAAGGCAAGGTGCGGTGGACGTTGTTGGGCTCGGTATCAGTCAGTTTGCTTGTTTCCTTGTGTTCCCTCAGCATATTGTACATATGAAGGGCATTGTTCTATGGTATGGTTTCTCACGAGCGGGTGTAAGTCTGTACAACGCCAAGCGCTGAAGGCTCGATATTTCGCTTTCGCTTAAAGAGGTCTGTTTGTTCAAGGAAAAATCATGTAATAAGATTCTCCAGCAAAGAATAATTTTTTTTTTCGTTGAATGAGCTTATTATCTTCGTACTTACTTTCTACTTCGGCGGGAGATCTCGAGGGATGATACTGTATCACGTACAGTACAGTATTACTATGTCCGTCACGGTTTCTTGTACCCTCTGCATTACCCAGAAACCCCCACTTTTATCATTTCAATAGTATTTGACACCTAATCCGGGATTTGCCTGTACCCTTGTATCTCGCCTAACGAATTTCGTGCCTTCATTTGCCCGTGATCTTCTTGAGAAAAGAAAATTCACCCACGAAACTCATCATCGATTCTTCCGTAATCATTGTCATATTTTTGACACTGTCATGCACTTCCGAAGAAAGAACCCAGAAGAGAAAGACTTCCATTTTTTTTTTAAATAAATTTTGATCAAATTGAAGTTCAAAATCATCATAAAGATGGTACAAAACATTTTAGAATAGGCTCGGAAGAGTACTGCTAAAACTTCAATTTTTATCCTTTAATACAGTATAGAAATTCATGAGATTTTTTTTTTCGTAATACCGTATTTCTGACAAATTATGTTAATTGATTGGGTTTACGATTTCTTGTGGAAAAAATCTGACTAGCAGAACAAACTTTTCATCCAGCAAAAGTTTGTGGGTACAAATGAAGTTTGTTCGAAGAGTGAGATTTCACATGCGCAACGTATACTTCCGAAATATTGTGAAGTGAAATTCACATTTATAGATAACTATTTCATATTTGGCTTATGCCCTTCTCCGATTTTCATTTTTTTTTTTGAAATGGAAGTACTGTATTCTTGGAGTAGGTTTAAACAAGTTTGCAGGTACCAAAAAGAAAGTTTCAAGCTTAGTGAAAATGTTGTTGAAAAACATTTAATCAATAATATCGAAAATAGTTTGACGAGGATCACTTTTTCTTTGACAAGAGTCAAAACCTCCTCGCGTATATTTTCATTATTTTAACTCTGAAGGTGACGAACGACTTGGAAAAGGTTTACTTCTTTTCCGCAATCATTTTCAATCCTTGTGGATTCGGGTGAGCAATACATATGCTGTGTTGCGTTTTACTTTTTTTTTTCAAGACCGTTGTTGTTCTATGATTTCTCATTAGAAATCGTAAAAATATTGAATTGCTCATTGATTGATGCGTGATTTACTGTGAACCGACGAATCGCGCGACGATTAATTTCGATAACGCGTTGAACATTGATTCTTTTTATATTATTTGTATTGTCTCGAAGCGTTTGCAATTTTCGATGCTCGTACATGTGCTTATTTTTCTTTGGGGTATTGAATTAAACGAATGCGCTCAAGGTGCGCTTCCCATGCTTGTGCATCCTCTGAAGAGGTTTTTTTTTTTTTTTCATTATGCACTGAACGTGTTCTTACTCCTTTGAAAAACTTCGGTTAGTTGACGAGAGTTCGCAACTTGAGGTTGTGACTGTTATTGCCGCTCAGGTTAGTACAGTAGTTTCATCCGAAAAGTTAATACTGTATATCCGTAGGTGTTCACACGGGCGTGTTATTCTCACTTTTTTTTAACATGGACCTGAATGATCGTGAATTCAGGAGAAAAAAATGCATTACAATAAGTTAGTACTTATGTATGTAGTGTGTCCACTGGTGTCTCAGCTCTAAGGATCAAGCTTTATGTAATGTTCAAAGGATTAAACGTTTTCAAATGATTCTCGTAAAAAGCTCTTGAAATTCCCAACATTCTAGCGAATTTGCTTTCTTGAATGATTCCTATCAACCGAGAAAATTCAGGCGGCTCAAGTTAGTGAACCTAAGTTTGTTTTTTTTTCTCTGAAAAATCTGGAGTCCTAAAACTTTATGGAGAAAATTTCGCCGACCAATTTTTAAGGACGTTTGAATGTATACAGTGTTGATTCCCGCATGCAGCAGTGATGCCGTAGTTCCTGCATAATTTTCCATTTTGTCTGATTTTTGGACAATTTGAAAGATTTTGCTGCTGGTCATTAAAATTGCCATCAAAAATCGCAGAAGAAAGTTTTCGAACAATTAATAGACGGGTAAAATCTATATGAATACCTTGCTCTACTTGTATTGTACATAAAACCCCGCACGGTACACAACTGTATTCGAAGATATTTTTTTCATGGAAACCCTATTTAAGAGACGGAATTAATCCCAATAAATGGCTTTAAGTATGCATTGGTTTACAATTCTGTGAAGAAAATCAATGGCAATTTATTCCTACCGTAGGAAGTGATGAAAGATTCATTTTCCACAGATACAGTATGCATAATTCTATAATATAATTGTGTTTCATGCACTATATTTCCTCCAAGCATAATCTGTGAAATTCGAAGATTATAATTAAACAAAATTATCATTTTGTAATTCCCACAAAATGTTCCCTGGTGTAGTACAGTACACTGTAAATGACATGCTGTACATTGAAAAAAGTTTCAGTAAATGGTATGCATTTTTGGCACCATGTAAAGGGTTGGCCAAACAAGTGAACCAATTTTTTACTTGAAATATTTTTGTAGCAAATCGTGCTACAGCAATGAAAAAAGCACCAAATGAAAGCTTGTTCAATTTAATTTCAAATGGTTTGTTCTTTATGGTCCCAAGTGCCACAACATGGTCATATGAACCTTTTGAATAAAGAAAATTCCAAAAAACAAGTTGTTATGATGGGCAACTTACAGCAGTAATAAGTGATGTTTTTCCTTGTTCTCTAGAGCTCTTCCTAGTGATAAATGAGTTGCAGACCCAGTAATTCAAAAGGAAAATGTCATGCTGTGCTTACACGAGGGTGTGAATTCACACATTCACAAAATGTAGAGAGTTTGTTATCCCAAAGAAATTTGCGTGGAAAGGGGGTCACAGAGGAGCTACAAGGCAGGAACTCGCTCAGCAAGAAGCTCCCTCCATTGGGATTCAGGAGTTGAGCAACATAATATCACACAGATCAATATTTTGCTGCACTTCTCATCCTCACCTAATAAATGTCGATGAGATATAGCTGAGGTTTCCCAGTTTAATTACTAGTCCTGCACCCGATTGTTCCTAAAAAAGAGCTCTGGAGAACAGCAGCTTATTGCTATAGAGTACTGTAGTATAGACTACATGACATTTTAAAAATTGTTTTTATTCAAGTGATTCTCGTGACCAAGTGTGGCACTTATTTGGGGCCACAACATCACAAACCATTTGAATGGGAATTGAACAAGCTTTCATTTGATGTTAATTTTTCATTGCTGCAGCTCAACTTGCTGCTGAGCTATTCCAAGTCAAAAATTGGTTCACATTTTTTAGTCTATCCTGTACTGTATATACTGTACTGTACTGTGTTGTACTGTATTCTGTATTGTAGAAGTGTTGCAGCGCGCGATTATCGAAGCAAAGCACCGATTTTGGCGGGCTAACCTCTGAACGGGTGGGATACTTGAACATCTAGCCAACTGCGCTGGGGAACGAGCTAGTGGAAAAATTCCGTCACAGAATTTTTGAGAACCCGTGTTGCGTGCTCTTGTGGCTGTTTTTTGACAAATGTTTGAAACGAGACAACTTACTTAACGAAGAGATTTTTTCAGTTCTACTCCCACGAATGTTTCTGAGTGAAGACGCGCCTTTTGTGCTGTAATTGTAGAATACTGTACTTTGTTCGTGTGGGTCTGCTATGCTCTCCCCGAATGCGGCGTTTAGTAATTTTCTTACTTCGTTGCATCAAATAGTTCTAACGAACTATTGTGATTTATTTGCAGTTTTTCGCGCTTTTTTAGAGCATAATTTCGCTTTTTGAAGACGTCGATGAGAGTGCGGAGCTGACGTTTGGAGTATTTTGAGTTTCACGGGTAGTTTCATTCGATGGGTAAGTCACGGAAAGTGCAAATCGTTGATGCCGGCGATGCGGTCGAAGAAGCTGTTCCTGCTGGAATGGAGGTTGGTCATTTGTTGACTTTCCATCGTCAGTTTTATTTAAAGTTGAATTTACAGGTTGAAATAGAGTTTGAATCCGTTCCTCCAACACCTGAAGATTTTCATGGATTGAAGACAATACTCTCGTCCAATTTTGGCCAGTTGAAGCTAGACCTGAGCTCTGTTGCCGATGAGATAATAGAGCGAAGTAACCTCAGTCAATGCGTGATTGTGAGATCGTTGAAATTGTTATGTTGTATTCGAAGTTCCGAAGGTTTTGTTCTCACAGCAATCTACTGTTGGTGGTGACGAAGACGACGACGACGATGAAGAGGATGATGAGTCGACACCATTATTCGGTGTTCTAAGTGTGCTTGATACTGCATCAGAGAAGGTAAGCTCCGAACTCCTCTCTTTTGTGTGTTATCTTCTCTGATTGGATTTTTTTCTGATTGAATATCTTTTCTGCTGAAATTTCAAGGCAGGTGTCGGTTCTTTTGTCGTTAGTCTCGGGAAACACTGTCAGAGTGCTGGTGAGCCATTGAAAAGTATATGGGATCGTAAAAATGAATTGAAGGTTGGTTGGATTATCAATGAAAGACTGGGTCTGCCACCTACAATCGCCACTCCCTTGCTGGAAACATTTTTGTGAGTTCTAGAATAGGTCTAGCACATTTCGTTGAATGAAGATTATGATTCATGTTTATTTTTCCTCAGGAAAGACTGGGAAAATTTGAAATCGCGAGATCCTAAATTGAATTTTTCTCACTTCATCATGGTTTGTTCCGTGTTCCGCGTTGGAGGGGCGCAAGGAGAAGATTTCTGGTGCAACGCAGAAGAAATGTATTTAGCGAAAGTTGCTGAAGCGTCTTTTGATATTCCGAAAGAGGACGACAGTGAAGATTCTTTTCTCAGAGTTATCTTGTTTCCCGCGTCAGCATTACCTGCCGCTCTCGAAAAATTCAAGACAGATTTACCAACAATTATGACGAAAGAAACGTCGCAATAAAAAATAGGCAGTGGATCACGTTCTGTTGCTTTCATGGGAGGGAGTAATTTTAAGGAATTTTCTACTTCCATGATAGCTCATGATTTTTATTTTTTTTTGCGGATGTGCAGGAAATTTCATTGCGCGGTCTTACAAAATGAGTGAACGAATCACGGCGTTTCCGATGTCGGAAGACCACGCAACTGTGCTTCGAAATTTAGAAATGATGAAAGTTGAAGGCCGGTGTCCGATCTCCACACCCGCACGAGGTTAGTAAATCCACGTCGAACTTTATAATACTGTATGCATATTTTAAAAAGTAATTGTACAATTTCAGTATGGCCATACTTTTACATGTCAGAATGTCAGAGTAAAGTAGTAAACCTGGTTGATTTGCCTTTCCAATGTTCGCATTTCGATTTCGTTCTGTATTTTGAACTCTTTTTGGACAGGCATGATTTCCATTTTTATGAACTTGAACTTTTTTCCACTTGTTCTCCCATTCCTACATTTTGATTCTGCTGCTGTTTTTGTTCCAATAATGTCCTGTCTTATTTTCAACAAACTTTATTTTATTAGAACATTTATAGTGTGTCATCCATTTCAACGAACAGCATGATCGCATCCGTTTCCTGTGTTTAATTAGGAAATTACTGATCAACCGCAGATACTGCGCAGCGATCCTTCATTATTGAAATATTCTAAGCGAATCTAAACTAATATTCTAATCTAAGGCATGACTCATACACTGGACATTTGGCCAAATGCTACTGATCAGTGCAAAACAGGATCTGAATTTCTGGAACTCAGGTAATTGGCTGAATTATAATATATCTGGCCACCACCGTTTCAATGGCTATGTTGGTCGCGTAAGTACGGCTAAAACCATAACATTGAAGATTATGCGAAGGTAATTTGGTGAACCTAGGAAATGCCTTTTCTGACAGCGGAAGCTCCTACTATTCAACAATCATCGAAGCTTAAGATGTTCAGTCTTAAAAAATTTTTTTTCCCTCAACGATCAAGGAAATTACTGTAACTCATTTTTTAAAGTGATTTAATTTTCTTCAATATCCATTCAGGGCGTGGGTTGCTTATGGATGTGAATGTGGCCAAGGATCGTGGGGCTGTGAGCGCCAAACGAGCAGATTTGCATTCATTTGGTCCCAAAAAAGTCATTAAGGTCGATGAAGCGACGAATTTTGAGTCGAGCACTCGTAAGAAAATAGAAGCTGTGGATGAAAGCTTTCCAGTTTTGAAGACGTCGCCTGGTATGCATTCTCAGTCGGAATCGTTCCCAGCTTCTGTGATGTAATTTACAATTATTATAACTGCGCAGATTATTTCGTTGACATTCTTGGATCTGACCTGACGATCAATGCAGAAAAAATGGAAGTCATGTCAAACTGGATGTCACATTGTCGCGTTCGTGATGGAGGTGATGATTTTCAATTCGAAACGTTTGACGTAATGCTTCCGCCGGTTGAAGGTGAGTCCAACGATTCTTCATCGTTTCAGAGCCTGATTCCACATTTTATTCTACAGATACCGCGCTGCCAGTATTCGATTTTAATGATTCCGGATTTGTGCCTGAGCCTGAGTTTGATTCCCAATCTGACGAAGATGATTTTTTTTCATTCATGAGCTCTTGAAATCCGACAGGAAGCTTTTTTCCTTCTCACCAAATTACTTTGTATTTTTGCGTATCGGTTTTGAAAGTTCTATTTTATGAATACAATGACGTTGCTCGAAATGCGCTCGTTTCTTTTCAATGTGCGTTTGAATGTGTGCATTTTAAAATTCATTTGGTTTACATTCCAGGCATGAGTGTGCGACTGCGAATTTGCTTCTGCCGGTATTTAATTTCATTGCCATGTGATCGGAAAGGGCATTGTGAAGTGCGTGACGTATAAGGAGTGTGAGTTTGTGCACTAACTCGGAAGTTCTGCTTGAGAATGCCTGTCCAGCGACAAAGCCAATCGGAGCAGACGATACAAATGGATTCTTTCAACAGTGGTCCTCCGTTATACCTAGAAGCGAACAGGATTGGTGAAATCAGGCAATCTCCTGAACTTCAGAAACGGCAAGGACGTGACTGGAAGGTCCTGCGTGCCTCCAATGGTTATTGGATCCTTGGTGGTAGTTGTGTGAAGAATGTTGGAGAGAGTTTTAGGAACACATTCACAATTGATTTTCAAGACTACTTCATCGAGAAAGTTTCTGTGAGTTGTCTTTCCCTGTTTTAGAGCGGAAGGTGGCATATATTTTTGTGAGATGAATTAGACAGGAAATATTTTGAAGAATGACTTCCAAAAATCTGAAAAAGTCACAGCCAAGCCATAAATTTATGAAAATGCGCCGAGGTAATTGATTAATTATTTAGTTGTGGAGCGACATTTTGGTTGTGCAGTATTAAATTATAGAATTATTAGTGAATTGTCTTCGTTGATTATTTGATCCCTCACATCTCTTGACTATAATCGTATGTTTTTCTTCCCTTATCTGGCGTCGTCGGTACAAGTAGACTCTCTCGACTACGATTTTCTCTGTAAAAAGAAAATTTGTTGGTCCCATAGGGTTCTCTCCCCATGTCATAGGGGTTCTTCGCTACGAAATTCTGGTCCCTTGAATTTCGTAGTAGAGAGAGAGACAGTCCACCTGTAGTTATCAATTCTCCCTGCTTTATTTTCTCTGAAAATTATTTTTCCTTATCGTGAAGGTTCGCGACTTCAAGCTTTTGGCTTTCAATACCCACCGGAATTGTGCCGTCGTTGGCCTGTCGATTGGTTCAAAAAAAGGCGTTATAGTCATTATTGAGTTGCTGCAAGCATCTTGGTGTGTTCGAGCTTGGGTTGAAGTTCCATTCTTGGTGAGTTATGCGTGATTTTTCATTATTCTTTTAATTGAAAGGTTTACGCTTTCGCCGGTTTAGGTACTTTGCCTCGAGTATTTTAGGGAGAATCCTGCCATTACTGAACTTGGTGAATCTTCTCAAGAAACCACAACAAAGCGTCAACGTCGAGAAGAATCTGAAGGATACCTCGTGATTGGTTCCGAGGGCGGCAGGTTTTACTTGATGAATACAATAATGTCTGGCGAAAGAATGAGCATTGAACGTGTCGAACGGACTAGATTGCATCGCATCCTTGATGTTCGTTCTTTGCCCAAGGATGAGAGTGCATTGAGTCATATCACTTCTGCGTCTGTTCCTTCAGCCATTGCGTTTAATGGTGAGTGAATTATGATACAGTACTTTTTTTAATTGACTGAAAGCAGCTTTTTTATGTTCCCTGTTCGGTCATTTCCGTAAATTACTGTACATGTTTCCTAAATTCGAATAATATTTTGCATGTTCTATGTATATTAAGGAAGCTTAGGTTCTAACAAATATGTCAGATAATTCGATACCAATATGGTAAGTGATTATTGCGTGATGCATGTAAAGGGGCTATGATAAGTAATTTTTGTGTATCCTCGCCAGACTCCTGCGCATTTTAATTTTGTCGAGTCCATTTTTAGAGTCCATTTATTTTGAAAATTTTATTTTAGATTATGGTATATACAGTACTTTTGGAAAGCATAATATTTGAACGCTGATTTTTCAATAATGATACATGCAATAATTCCGTGTCAGGTTTCCAAAAAGTGATCAAAATATTTTTTTATATGCATATTCTTTTGAAACTGCTTTTCTTTTCAGAGGAGAACAGTGACGGGAGCGTGTTCGAAGTATTTGGACCAAATGAGTCTTTCATTGAATCAGTTCTTTACTGCGAAAGTGAAATAACTGGTCTTCGCTGTTTCCCCACGATTCGCTCAATTGCTGTTGGGTACAGATATGGTGGTTTCGAACTGTGGAATATGGATACGCTTCAACTTGAGTTCGTTGGATTGTTGATTTGCAAACGTTAGTCGTATGCTTCAGTTTCTGGCGTATTTTTCAACAGGTACGCGTCTGCGTCCGAGTCGGTGAATGGAGTGGAGAAGCTTGATATAGATTCGCCAGTGATTGGATTTGAGCTTCTTGAACCAGAAAATGACCCAGAAAACACTGCCTGTCTATTCGTGTTGCGTTCAGAACATCAACTACTTTCCTACGGGGAAGTCAGTCTGGGAGAATCTGCTTGGGTCACAGCGTTTCTCATCAAGTTTGCGAAGATTATTCCTGTTGATGGCGCCACGTCATATCAGGTTGGATTTTCTCGCGAAAAAGCATTGCAATCCGAAATTTTTGTCATTAAGTTTCTTCTCTTCTTGGAAATCTAGGGAATGAAGCAACCTCATCACATGCTTGACATTGATCTTCTGGAGAAAATTAGTCTTTTACCGAAATCCCAGTTTTGTAGCCGAATCGTGAGCCACCATTCACTCAGTAAGTTTCCAAACTTTTTATTTGTGTTAAATACTGTTTTTTTTCGCAAGTGTGACGTCCGAAGTCTCACACATGATCTTTTGTGAAAATCAAGATAATTTTGCTATTTATTTTCGACAGATCTGGCACAACAAAAGAACAATGGTTTGTTGTTAGTTTCGTTTGAATCGTGGGCAAGAGGTGATGAACCAATCACTGCATTCAGTGCACCTGCATCCAGAGAAGTCCATAGTTTTGTCTTCGGCGTCGATCAATGGTACGAGAAGCAACTGACGAATATTATTCAGGACGTGGATTTTGACCATCCAACTGCGTGTCACTTCATTCGATCTTTAGATCTTACGCAAATATGTCCTGATATTGCGGGTGGTGAGTGGGTTCTTGTACAGTACATTTTTTTCTTTAGTTTAAGAACTTGAACCACCTTGATTCACTTTCAGTTGATCGAAAAAGATTTTTAATCAGACACATGTTCCGTACTTTTAAAATCTAAAATGGCTCGATATTTTATGTGTTGTGATAACTTTTGAAATTGCCAACCCTTAATATACCCCTAGATAATTCAACATTGTTGGCGGTATTTCCACATCCATACAAGAGTTGGAAGCGATACGAAGTTGATTTTCCAAACGAAGGCTACAATGCAGTTTCTGGCATCGATATCATGCTAGAAGTTTTCCATGGAACGTGTGTCTCGTCAGTGCGTGTTCCGGCTTTCCAATGGGCAACATGGCACCTTGTTGAAAGTTCATCAAAACGAGACGTGCTGTCGAATCCCTTCTCGTTTCTATCCATTTTGAACTCTGCTGGAATGGTTCCCCCAACTGAACAAGAATGTGTCAGGCGTCCCCCGTCAAACGAGTCGGAGGCAAATAAGCAACGCCTGCTTATCATGTACGCAGGTTTTGAAAATCAAGGAGAAGACTGGTTGAAGCAAGTGTGCTATTACATTTGGGGAACAGAAGAGAATGACAAACTAGGGGAGTGGCCAGTGCGGCCAGCCCTGGCCCATACTTTCCTCAATGGGTCATTCGCCACTTGCGCCCATGTTTTGCGCAACATTTGCCGCGATTTGTACTTCCCGGTTGGAAACCCTGCCGCGTTTGATCAGAAAAATTTAGTCGTGTTGGCATTCTGTCTCCGGGTGTTGGAAGTGGTTCGAGATAGTGCGAGAACAATTGCGAAGCTTGAATATGAGAACATTCGAGTTTTCATGGACTACAAGTGGGAGAACGAAGCTTATCAATTCAGCAAAATGCGAGACGAGGACTTCAACGCGCGAATTGACGAGATATTTCCTTTGGACAAGACTGTTGAAAGCTGTGCTGTTGATTTTGATGGGCTCTCTGGCTGGCTTGGACTTTACAATTCGGCGAGGATGATGTTGAAGCATACTGCACTTCTGCATTGCCTTTTGAAGCATGGTGTTCTGCCTGAGAAATGCTCAGATTCTGTGGTTCCTGTTGGTATTGATGGCATTGAAGTGCCATTTCAGACGCTGCAGTCTCTGAATGCCAAGTTGAGGTCAATGAAACCGGATTGCACACGTCTGATCATCGACGGACTAACTGAGGTATAATTTATTGTTGTTTCTTTAGTGTTCATTTATTTTGTAATTTTGATCAAAAATTCATGCAAATATAGTAATTAAAAATTGGTTCTTAATATTAATATAAGAAATATTTAGTATAATACGGTAATTCTGATACTGCGTGAAAAATTAAATTTCTTTTTGTTGAACTGGCAGACAAACTTTGTTCAAGGCTCGTTCTATTGTGACGTACAGTATGTTCATCTTCAAATAGCTTTCAGAGGAATGAAACTACAGTACAGTAGTTCCCTCCGAGGCAATGAGTCTTCTGAAATTCCACCTAGCGTACCTGGCGTTTCCGTATTTTATATTTCTGGTACCTTTTGTGACATGAAGACAAACCGTTCTGGACATTTGTTTTGTGTTTTGCCTAGTGTTGAATTTTAATTCGGCATCGAGATCCCCAGTCTCAGTAAATTGTAAACGCCAATGTAATTTATTGCTAGCAATTATTTTCATGTTCAGTTATCTTTGGGCGGACTACACGAACATAACAGGTGACATTTTTCTGTTCGGAAAGCATGAAAACCAGATTGCTGTAGTCGAGAAAGGATGAGTATGATTACTAATTATTTTTCTCTTGTTTTCTGGAACATTTTTCCCCTGTGCATGAACGCCGGGAATCTTTTTCAAATTGAAGAGCTATTAATTTGTTTAGCGAAAATCTCCCTCTTGAATCTGGTTTTTTAAGATATGGAATGACAGAATTGAAGAAAAATATGTAAATTTGCCCAGAGGAAAAGCTGCCGAGCCGCTAAAAAAAATCTGCAAATGTGGGTTTGCCGAAAAGCAACAAAACTCGTTTAGTTTCACGTCTTATCCATGTTGCACAATATTTTTTACAAATGTATTTTTCGTATCGACATCTCACTGTTGAAAGTAAAGATGATCATTACATTTTATAGTTTTAGAAAACTTCCCCACTTATACACAAGTGTGACTTTTCTCTTCTCAGTTGCTGCCTGAAGAATGTCAGAAGATCTGGAGAGATGCGCACAAAGATGCAAAAGTTCATGGTGAACGAAGTTATTTGTATCCACCGACGCGTGTGATACCGTTATTGGAGATTTATCGTTGCAATACGGCTGGTTTCGAAGTTATGGATGCCATTTTGTATTATTTCGTTTTGGACTGTGAAAATGCTGCGCCGCAGCATGAAAAACGGTAATTATCTCTCTTACACATTCCTCTTGACTGTGTATCTTAATGATGAATAGACTCTAAGAACAGTATGCTTTAAATTCTGATTTTTAGGAAGTGGTCTAGTATACGCCAAGATCTTTTGGTCATCTTGGATACGAAAGTTACTGCGAGTGTTTCTAGTTACCACGCTTTGGACCACGTTGTTGGTCATGGTGTTCCGGGGTCCGCGTTCTTCCGCAATCACGGTGACATAACCATGTCGCAGCTGATTCCGGTGAGTCTTTTGCATTGCATTTTATGTCTGCGGGAATCATCAGGTTAATCAGTACGAGTAACGGAATGACGCTTTTTAAAAAGGTAGATTCAACTAACCAAGGAACAGAACTATTCGTAAGTGTTTACATCTCCTTGATGGACGACAAATTTCAAAATGCAAGCGGGTCCTATTTTATTTTTATGGGATCCTATCATTTAAATGAATTACCTGCGTATTCGGTTCGAATTTATCGTATTCGGAGAAAATTTCCTCTCCTCACGAGGTTTGGATGAGTCAATCCGTAAATTTAATACAGTAGTACACGTGGATTAAATTTACTTCCGAATAATCAGTCGTGCAAAATTTTTCCGTGGGTCACATCGGTATTTCAAGCTGTTGCGAACATGTTTTAGAACTTTTTGACGAGTATGTGAAGAGGAGAGAAAATACTCCGGGGCGTTATAATTGTAAAATTTAACTTTCGCGGCTAAATTTTGCTTGTTTTAGGTGAAAGAAAAGATGTGACATTAAAAAATTATATGTAGCTCATCGTTTATTCTTTTACAGTATTAGATGAAATGAGAAGAGTTCTTTTCCCCGATAGCTGCGGGTGGAACTGCAAGTGGAAAATGATTTTGTGTCGCATATTCGTGCTTCTGTCTAGTGTATTGAGATAATATGTGATATTATCTCAACACTATTTTATGATTTCTGCAGGTGAATGTGGAAAACCTCTCCATGATTTGTGAGGCATCTGGGAAACCGGTGGAAGTGTTATTGAACACTGTTCTCCGGAGTTTAGTGCTTTTCCCGGAAGCTTTAGTTGAAATCGCTGAGCAGGCTCAAAAATGGTTCACAAAGCTTTGGCAACTCGAGTTGGTATTTCATGCCTTGTTGAAAAACCGGATGAACGACGTTGCTGTGAATCTTTTGTACTCCAACGTCGTTCGAAGATTTTCGATTGACATCCAGCGTCGTCTTCATCGCCTCGTGTTTGATGGTGAGATGTCTGGGACAGTGTTATTGTGAAATGCTTTTCTAATGCTCGAGAATTCCAGCAATTTATGATGCCGAGGGGCTTCAAGGAATCTTGAGGGTCAATTTCTGGCTGTACGACATTAAAGAACTTCGGTCGTGGGCATCAACGCGAAATTCCTTTTGGAAACTGTTTTCAAAGTACGTATTTTAGTATTGTTGCCTTCTTTTTTTTAGCTTCTTCGATTTGAAGAAGATCTTCGATTCAGTATTTAACGTTATTGGTCGACACGTGAATCAGAACCTCTTCCTAAGTGTTTTTAATTGCTTGTGTTTTAGATGCAAACCGAGAGAGCAGCTTGAAAAGCGTTTTCGAAAAATAGGAGCCCCGCCGGATAAAGAATCCACAGAGAAATCCTTATCGTCCAAGGCTTCCCGTGGTTTTCCTGACATATTCTTGCTTCGCCCCACCTTCGAAGACTTCAGAAAACATGGCTGTTCAATTGTGCGGCGTGTTGGCAAGATCAATCCGTACATCGCGCTTTTTGCGAGGGTCAAGTAAGATGTGAATTCCTTATCCTCAGTTATTTTTTCTTGAGATATTTCATTTTCTCCGACAGTTCAAGTTATCCATTAGCTTTGAAACCACATTTTGAACCCATTCTTGTTGACCGGACCTTCACCGAAAAAGCTCTGAACGGTGTTTTGCCCGTTCCTCCTGGAATATTGAAATCCTGCATTTCATCAAAGCGAGGTTCGTTTCTTCATTCGATTGTCAGCTATTTTTTCAATGTACAGGAGAAGCATCCTTGTAGTTTCTGTTTCATCCAATTCTTCTGAAGTGAGCATTACGGAAAGTTTGAATGCTTGATGGAAAAACATGGATTCTATTAATCAATTATTTGACCAAAAATAACGTCATCCAACTAAAATGAATTCTAACTCTCTTGAATACGTTGAAGATAATACAGTACCCTGAAATCAGTTTGTATTCATACGAGTAGAATGGTTGAGAAAATCACCGATTCCATGACGCTGGGTTTCAAATTCAGAAGAACATGAATGCTTCCATGAGGCGAAATAATTGCTGGGGACAACAATTCGTGATGATTTTTTGTTGTTGATGATTTTCAAGACGGATCTCGTCGTATTCGCTGGGATTCAGAAAGGCAGCCCGAAGATAGCCCTGTGGAGCGCTCGTTCCCTCACATTGAGGAAAGAAACAGGATGACGATCTCGTGAGTTCAGTGTTGTTCTTTGGTAAATATATCTGAAGTTAAATCTGTGAATTTGAATGTCTTTCGAATTTAGATCCGGTGTAAGTAACGAGTCTCTGGATACCATCAGCATGACCGCGACTGAGCATTCAGATGAAGACATGGAGGAAGATGAATCAGAAGTATCAGGATCGAAGCAATCTATTCCTGCCTTTGAAGAGGATCACGTCTTTTCCTTCGACAATCCCATCAACGTCGTGATTTGTTGTTCGTTGGAGGAAGACTTCGTTGTAGTGCAAGAACCTAGCAGTGAAGATTCGTTGAAAATCGATATTGCTGACCCCGATGCATCGCCTGCATATCCGGTGTCGCAGAATATCAACGAAGTTTCCGGAGGCGAAGTAGATGTTGATCCTGTCTTGGACTCGTCGGAAGCACCGTTTGACGACGCTTCGCTGGAAATCGTAACGAAGCAGAAAGAGAGCGAGTTGGATGAAGCCAGTGTTCTAAGTTTGGCCGGATCGTCGGAAGATGAGTGCGATCAAGATGAAACTGAAGAGCATGAAGATCTGTACAGCAGCATGATCGAAGGTAATCTTTATCGGATTAATCGGTAAATTCTTATGATAGTTGAAACGTCATATATCGTGTTGGTTTTGTTTAAATTTCCGAAATACCGTATCTACGTGAGACAGTTTTGGATCAAATAGAATGATAAGTGTACTGTGTGATTTTACAAAGAAGCAAACATTTTTGCTTAACCCGTGGCGTTGTTCGTGGAATTGTCTTCGTGTTTTTTTTCAAATATTCACCCATTCGTGGAAAAGACCATGTCCCAAAAAATCAGCCCTCTTTAACGTAAAGAAATCAATGTGAATGATTGGTCATCAAAATGACAGTTTCGTGAGTTGGTTGGATTTTAATTTGAATTCAGCTCATGACTTTCGGTTACTGTCTTCAGGGCTCAAACTGATTAATGCTTCAAGTCAGAATGCATCGTCTTGGCATTCGTTTTTATACTTCGAAAATTGCGCATTAGCTCTCCCCTTATTTTGGAGGAATAGTTTACCCGTCTTACGTCAGGGGTGCGGTATATTCTCCGTTTTATCTGTTAATCGGTTTGTATTTTTGTAGGTGTCGGAGGTTATCCAATGGGAGGCGTTGAAATCAGTCTGGACTCGAACCTTGTCGGAATCGATACAAATCGACGCATGGGAAACACAATGATATCTGATCTGTCAGAAGAGTTTTTTGTTGATCAGCCGAACATATATGACGATATGATTCCACCACCATCAGCCGTAGATTCCGACGACGGTAAGACTGTAATCCCATATCATTCGCTGAAACAGGTGTAACCGTAGCATTTGATTTTTTTCAGGCGGAATCCAGCTGAGTCCGCTTAACCTAATCCCGGAAGAAACTGGTAATTGTTTCTCTATTCGATTGTGCGCAAGTGATTTTAGCGTTAGTAGAAATAATTCGTATTCGAATCGTGGAGATGCCATGCTTTTTTTTATCGGTTTTTGGAAGGGCTACAGTTGAAAGAATGGAGGAAGACGTAACTCGTGAACCATGTGTTCGCCATAATGCAGTGGATATGCAGTAGAAGGGCTAATCTATGTTACAGCGATGAAGTGTAATCGCTTTCATCGTGGTTTCCGTGGTGTAGTTGGTTATCACATCCGCCTAACACGCGGAAGGTCTCCGGTTCGAACCCGGACGGAAACACGTCTTTTTTCTATGCTAGTCGGACCTGTAAAGCCTTATCTCGTGCTCCCAGTGTATGTCCACTGGTTTAGTATGGGGCGCATATAGTTGGGTACAAAATAAAGAAATTCATGCGTGCTCTATTCTTAATTAAAAAGAAAGAAAACTGGGGAGAAGATGTCCGGCTGGTATCTTTCTAGGTTACGTCTTATGCGATAACTAACATGAAAATTTTGAACAAGAATGGTCATTGATACAAGGCTTTATAATTTACTTGTCTGTTTTCCCCTCTTAAATTCGTAAAACAAATACTTTACATTGCTGTAAATATAAATTTCCGTCAGTGAAAAATGGTAACTGTATTGTATTCCCCACATTTTAGTGTAATTTTGTCCGCGTTATATATTGTGGACTAAATCGGGAATACTTCCGAGCTGACCATTTTTAGATTCCAGAGATGATAGCCTCTCGAATTATTTCTTGCAGATTTCCAGTCGGAAGATAAAGAATTCCACGAGGAACAGGAAGATGAATCTGTTTCGAACGCAAGCTCCGGTGGTAGCGAAGTCGGCACGGAACAAGAATGTGTGGCTGAAGACTCCAACAACAATCAAAACGCGGATGATTCTTCAAACTTGAACTTTGACCTGGAAGGCTCCGTGGATGATAACAATTCTGATACAGAAAATCACGAAATGAACTCGAAAAACGCGGACGAGTCGTGGAGTTCACCGTCTAGAGATGCTGACGAGAAATCAAACTCGCCGGTCGTTCAAGAAGAAAACGCGACTTTGGACGAATCCGTCATTGAAATTCTTTCATCCGATGAAGGCGAAACGAGTAGTTCTCATGAATCAGGGAAGGATTCTCGTGATCCGAATAAGGACTCGTCCGTCAGCAATAAAACAAGCGACGATGATGTTGAAGAAGTCGAAAATTCCAGCGCGAGTGATTCGAATACCGGGGAAGACGGTCCTTCTTCAGCTGAGGATGAAGAATGCGTTGAAGAAGAGGCCTCGTTTGTTTCCGTTCCGGAAAGAGAACATAATTCCTCTGCTGAAAAACACGACCTACGGTTTTCTGCTGATTCATACGATTCAGTTTCTGAAGAATCCGATGACGTTTGTACAGCTGAAAACAACAACGAAATCGACGAAGTTTCTGAAATATCGAACAAAGACCGTGAGGATCTTGCTGAGTCGCAGGTTAAATCTCCGTCTCCTGCTCACGAAAAAATGAATGGCAAGAGTACGGATTCCTCGCCAAACGGAGTTGAGCTGAGGAAGAACGTTGATCGTGTGACGGAAACTGAAGTTACGGTTGATGACCATCCAGAGAAAATGCAAGTAAATGGTGTCCGAAGGCGTTCCGTTGAGAAAGAACCATCTGCGGGATCAGAGGTTACAGAGGATGAAAATTCACGTGATTCCTCTTCGCGGAAAAGGTCGACTTCGCGTTTTGAAACTCCATCGGTGAGTGCTTCTGAATTATAAAACTTCGCAGTTAATTCGGCTAAAATTCACCTCTCATGTCACTTACAATTTCAAGTACAGTATTCGGTTCATTGGGAACATTCGTAAAAATGATTGAAATTAACCTAACGAATTCCTAAACTTGAAGAACAACTAGATTGGAAACTTCCGAAGTGGAAAAATAAAATTGAATATATTTGTGTTTTTAGTGTAACTTTCTCTCGTACTTCTCTATTTAGAAAATTTTGGAGCTGTATTTTATTCGTTTCTGTTCAACTGCATTTAATATCTAATTTCTCGATTATCGAACCTGATCGTGCTGGAGAATGCTTGAAAGCACTACGCTTCCTGAATTTAAAATGCTGAAGTGCGAAAAACTTTATTACAGTAACTGAAATTATTGCGACGATGCATTTTTTTCCATGCTCTTCATGCTCTTTATTATTAAATCAAAGCTGAATATTAGCGTCAAATATTAGATTTTACCATTTCATGCGTCATTGCGTGAATCCTTTTTACAAATTATGCTTCAAAGTAATACAGTACAGTATTGCAAAATAAAATGTGGGATTTCCTTTTTCAGCCAACATCGAAAAGGAAGAAGCGATTGTCACTCGCTGATTCAGAGATCATTGCGCAAGGGGAAGATCTTCCGGATGGACCCATTGGCTCAAGAACTCGAAGTGCTATAAGAAGATTACACGGAGATGCCGTGAGTATCTTACCTTAGATGTACAGTACATGTATTTCGAAGGGGTCCTTGCAAAGCAGTAACGATTTATGCGTCCAATGTTTTTTCAGTTGGACGAATCGTTCAGCTTGCCCATGCCGCTCAGGACGAGACGGATGTCGACGTCTTCGGATTGCACAGGGTTCCAGACTGCGGAGAAGGTTACAAGAAAGCGTCGTCCATCCGCAGTCGATGTATCTACAGCCCCCGTGAGAAGATCATCAGTAAGTTCAAAATATTCACGTATTTGAACTGTAAATTAATTTGAATGATGGCAGCTGTCACCCAAATTTGCTTATGTTTTCAATTGCATTTCCAAAAGTTCCCGGTTTCTTCACTTCATCTACTGTTCATGGAAATGATCATCGGTTTTGCGAAAAAAAAAACGTCCAGGGGTGAAGTTCCGACGCAGCCTTACATGCAGATCAGTTTAAAAACGAATCCAAACTTGTCAAATTCACCAATCTACCAGAATCTGATTTCAACGCTGTAAGATTTGCAATTTCGCCAGGCCTGTTCTGTTTTTCTAAAATTGCCATTGTGCTCAGACTACAACTGCAAAAGTAACTGTTTTTGAAAAGACAACTTTATTATCGAACGTTGACGTTGTTTCGGAAGTGGAAATTCCGACTTCTCTGAAATGGCTGTTTAATGTTGTCTGTACCCTTCGCACTGCTTCTCATAACAATTTTCTTCAACAGAGGAGGTTTACCATAATAGATGCGTCAGATGCGGGTTTCATCCATGACCTGAGAAATATAGCTGAGGAAGGAGAAGAGGATGTTGCACCGACTAAGACAAGAGTTTCGTCCCGGAAAAATGCGAAGAAGACTTAGTTAATTTTTTCATATTTTCCAAAACTTGAAAACATTTTGGGGGTTTATGTATCTGTTTTGTGATCTGAACGAACGTACGTCCATTAGCGAAGGTCTTCTCGGGGAAGATCGAGTGAAATGTACGAAATAAATTCATTTCGTTCGAATCTTGGCGTTCATTGATTTTCTCATTCATGCACTTCTAGAAGTTCGAAAAAAACGGGCTTCGGAGGAAAAAGGCTTCGTACTTTCTGTTCGTTAGAAAAAATCATGCGAGGGTTATGGATTTCTGTCAAGTTGATTAACGTTGAGATTTGTGCGTACGAACCTTTTTTCTGAATAGATGAGTTGGATATACTGTACTGTAATTTCATGGAAGGCAGTCTACAGCAGTACCCTGGAACAATGTGCAACAGAGGAGCGTATGATGAATGCTAGGCTCTTCAATTATACAGAAAATTTCTTTGTCCTTGATGACTTGGAACCACTATGGCGCTGTACATGGAAATAAGTTCCGCTCACGTTTTCGGTACTTCAAGCATTACGTGTGTCTACAGCGTGTTATCGAGGATGTTTAGGATTTTGCGATTCGTGGTCTGAATTGTGCCGTGCGAATCGCGTCTTGTTGAACTATCCTCCAGTTGTGATGGTGGCGCGATCAAAAAATTTTTTTCCGTTGCTCTTTTCAGCGAAATGTAGAGATTTCGTTTTTTTTTTACTTCGCAGATAGAAGAGAAATTTTCCGATTCCTGGGTGTCCGTGTGCTGCCATGTGCTGATAGTAAATTTTTTAACCGTAAAAATACATGATGCCAGGGTCTGCTCAAGTGATGCCTCAATATCCATCAAACGCCCGATGGGGAGTTCCCAACCAGCAGCTTCCTCAACCGGTTCATCCAGGACACGGAGGACCTCCTCCTCCTCCCAATACTGCGATGGGCCCCCCACCACCGATGTCGTCTTACCCAAATCCAGGCTATCAGCAGTTCGCAAATGCTCCTCGACCAATGCAGCCAGGTAGGATTTTAATACTGTACCTTGTTGTGGTTCCTAGTTACATCGCCGATGCATGCTCGTAGGAATGTCGGGGCCAGCAGCTCCTCCGCCGCAGCATAGTATGGGCTTGGACGCTGCAACCAACATGATGGGGTCGCTTTCTGTGAATACGTATCCTCAACCGAGAATGGACATGCAAAGCCACGTCAATGGTTATTCACAGCCTTTGCCGCCTTCTGGGATTTCGCCTAACATTGACTCGTATCAGTCCAGAGTAGGTGGCGGGATGCCACCGCCGCCGATGGATCCTTCCCAACAGTATCAAACTCGTCCAGATTATGCGAATGGACCTCCCGGCCTTGCCCAACCGATGCCGAATGTTCAGCAAGGATATGTGAGCGAGAAATATTGTCACTGTAATTCTATCAAATTTCAGTGATTTTCTATTGTTCGCAGATGCCGCCCAATTATGGTTTGGCCCCACAGCCGCAACCCCAGAGGAAATTAGATCCTGATCAAATGCCCAATCCAATAGAAGTTATGGAAGAGGATAAGAGCAAGAGAAGTGGTCCTTTTGTTACAGGAAACCGAGGTCAAGTTCCCCCGTTAGTTACTACTGCGTTTACCGTGATGGACCAAGGCCATGCTTCTCCGAGGTTCATTCGTTCAACGCTTTATGCCATTCCCGCTACCCCGGATCTTCAAAAGCAGGTCTGTTTCACGTGTTGTTTAAATTTACTGATAGCTCTTTTTTTATATCAGAGAAGACCATTTTCTTATATGAAATACTGTAGCAAAAAAATTAGCTTCAAATGATCTAATATAGTATTCGTATGCGATTTACGCTCGATTATTGTGGCAGAATTTTGGACTCTAAATTGTGTCAAAGCTAAGTGCCCTATTTAAGGAAATGGTCGAGAAAAGCCTCATGCTATTGGACTGAAACACTGAACAATTATCATTCAAAAGTTCCCCGAACGAAAATCGGGAAAAGTATAGTCTGATCTAAATTAAAAGGCTAAATTTGTCTGCATATTGCACCGCCATGTTATAGAAGCTTTCCCCCACTTGAGAATTTGTTTGTATGCATTTGTTTTCCTAATTCCTGATAATTTTTCAGACGAGTGTCCCGATCGCAGTGCATATATCTCCATTCGCCGCATTAGCAGAAGGAGAAGTAGAACCGCCGATGTCTGATCTCGGTGGCTTACCCCCGCCTCGCTGTAATCGTTGCAAAGCCTATATGTGTCCTTTCATGCAATTCATCGATGGTGGGCGACGCTTCTCTTGCCCGTTTTGCAAGGCTACGACAGAAGTTCCCACGGAATACTTCCAGCATTTGGATCACAGTGGCCAAAGGCTGGACAAATACCAGCGTCCCGAACTTTGCTTAGGCGCGTATGAATTCACGGCAACTGTTGAATACTGCAAAGTAAGTCAAATCACTGCGTTACTTTACTCAATCCAAAAAGCCTACTTGACAACATCTTAGGTCTCTTTTGAATACACGTACAGTATTATCTGGAAAACAAAGCAATGTGAAAATTATGAGATTGTTTTATTTAATAGGTTGGTAGATTTGAAGTATTACTTTGAAAATTTAGTTTTTGAGGATGACGTTACTAAAGGTGAAGTATGTTCAATTTGTATAGCGAATTTGAACATTTGGGGATGCTGCATTCGAGACAGCTCCGAGGAATATCTTTTATTCTATTCGTGTTCCATTTGAAGTTGTGACAGAATTGAACGAAATTCGCTTAGAACACTTCATAATGTTTTTCGGGCGTCTAATGTTCTTTCTAGAATAATGAGGCACCGAAACCTCCTGCTTTCATCTTCGTGATCGATGTGAGCTACAACAACGTGCGATCCGGCCTTGTTCCCCTTTTGTGCAGTAAATTGAAAGAATTGCTGGATGAATTCCGCAAGAAAGGAACAACCGAAGACGGTTCTGCTTTTCCTCGAGTTGGATTCATTACGTACAATCATGTTGTACATTTCTACAATTGCAAAGTAAGGACTGATTTTTCTCGTTTGTTGGAATTAATTAAGTATTTTTTGCTTTTTGCAGGAGTCAATCGCTGCTCCTCAAATGATGGTTGTGGGTGATGTTGCTGATATGTTTATGCCGTTGTTGGATGGTTTCCTCGTTGATATTGAAGCAAGCGCGCATTCCATCGATATGCTGTTGGATCAAATTCCTGTAATGTTCGGCGAAACAAGGGAGACCGAAACCTTGATAGGTCCTGCTATTCAAGCCGGAATGCAAGCACTAGTGGTGAGTTTTTGTTTACGTATTTGTTTTTGGCTGTTTGCATTGGCAATGCTGTAATGATCTTAGCATATCCTCGGTCGTGTGTAAGGATATATTCTACTATGATAGCATGAAATAAATGGTTTATAAAATGTTGAAAACTGAATCTTTTCAAATGACATATACTCTTGTTGAAATCCCATTATTTGCTGAACGCATCAGTGCGTTCGCCGAATATAAAGTGGGACCGCGAGATGCGGACTTAATTGGTGCATGGACGTTGTCCTCGAGTTGGAGCGTCCGCATATTAGAACTTGTTTTCCCGTAGACTTGAATGAAAATATTTTAATTGGTTATCCTTGAGATGAATTGTCGAGAAAAGCCCCCAGAAATGTAATTACTGTAAATAATTTTGCGGAAACTTCCATATATATTACAGAAAATATCTGTTCAGAAGAGAATCTTGCAGAATCTGATCTTTTGGCATCAGAATGAGCCCAAAAAGCGAAGAACAAGTCTTGCTATGATGAGCGCACATGATGGAAGATGTCTGAAAATTAGCACAAAATTAGTAGCCTGTTTTTATTATGCTTTGGAATAATTTATTTTTAGATGTAGATAGCTAAAGTTGTTTGAGAAATGCAAAAAATTATAAGATTTGAATTTAAGAATTATTCAAGAAATCTTGGAAAAGTGTCTGTACATCGAGTCACTGTCCGGATGTTGAGGTCGAATTTTCCAACTTTGTTCCTAAATCAAATCGTCCGTATGTCGGGGTGTTAGAATTTCGGGGTCTCAGTTTACTTGCAGTACACTATATATATTTCGACCTGAACTTGGCCAGTCATGAACTTCGATCATGCATTGCCGACGGATTGAAGAAGAAACCAGTCTTTACTTCTATTCGTATTTTTTTACCAGGCTCACAACTGCGCCGGGAAGCTGTTCGTGTTTCATTCGTCACTTCCTATTGCCGAAGCACCTGGAAAGCTCAAAAATCGCGATGACAGGAAGCTTCTCGGATCTGACAATGAAAAGAAAATTCTCACTCCGCAAACAACTTTCTACAACAATCTGGGACAGGAATGTGTCGCTGCAGGCTGTAGCGTCGATCTGTTCCTCTTCAATAATGCCTATGTAGATGTGGCAACCTTGGGACAAATTGCACGACTGACCGGCGGGCAAGTGAACAAGTACACGTACTTCCAAGCGGATCTGGACGGCGAACGAGTCATTTGGGATCTGAGAAGGGCGCTGAACCGCAAGATCGCGTTTGACTGCGTCATGCGAGTCAGGACTTCAACTGGAATTCGGCCCGTGGATTTCTTCGGAAACTATTTCATGGCGAATACTACGGATGTCGAACTTGCTGCTGTAGATTCTGACAAGGTGTGTTTCTACACGTTCGCCTGGATTTTTCGTTGTTCAACTTGTATTCATGACATCGGATGTTTAAAGCGACCAGTTAATATATCCTGTTGACGAGTTGAATCACTTCGTCAAAGGTAATGAAGAACGTAGTAGGCGTCATTCAGTGAGGTCCAAGTTCTATAGATCAGTCCTGTCATTTGAAAAACAATTAAAGAATGGAAGTGATGAAGTATGACGCAGCGTTTTCATGATATTTTTAAATGATCATGGTGTCCGTATGTTAAGCGTTAAACAAAAAAACAAAAATTTGGTCGTGAGATTTGATCGTTTCCTGGCTTATTGTCTGTAGTTTTCATTATTCTCTTCCGTGTTTTCCATTTCATTGGTTTTTTAAAGGTTTAGACTCTTGCGGAAAGGATGCAAATTTGACAGAAAATCGTTATACTGTACGGTAGAGTAATACTGTACCACACAATCAATTTTGTAGCTAATTTTGCAAATTGGAACGTTCTTAGTCGGAAGTGATCCAATGTCTGAAGATATGCTGTGAATGGTGTAATTGAAGTTTCACTGTCATGCAGTAGACGTTATCATCAAAGCAGCAAATTTAGGAAATAAGATTTCCCTCATTTCTTCGACACAATTTTTTAGATTCAGCATGATGATCTCATTTCTTCGACACAATTCTTTAGACTCAGCATGATGATAACTTCGATTTCCTCCGTTTTCCCCATTTTTAGTCGATTTGTGTGGAGCTGAAGCACGATGACAAATTGACGGACGAAGAGGTCGTATACCTTCAAGCGGCCGTGCTGTTCACTTCGATTGGTGGCCAGCGGAAACTGCGAATAATCAATCAGAGCTATGCGGTCGGCACGCAGATGGCGGACGTTTACCGAGCGGCGGAACTGGATGCTATCATGAGTTACCTCGCCAAGTCCTCCATTAGCCGTGTGTGTGAATCCTCCCCGAAACAGTCTCGCGAGAAGCTGTTTGCTCGTTGTGCGCAGATCCTCGCCTGCTACCGCAAAAATGTTGCTTCGCCGACGTCTCCCGGTCAACTCATCTTGCCGGAGCAAATGAAATTACTGCCTTTGTACATCAATTGTCTATCGAGGAGCGATGCTTTGACCGGTGGACCAGATTTGCTGACGGATGACCGAGCGTATTTCATGCAATGCGTACAGAGCATGGACGTTCTCGCCTTGTCCGTATTTTTGTACCCGAGGCTGTATCCCGTGCATGAGCTCTTGATGATGGGAGAGTTTGATTTGAATGCGCCGTTGCCAATGCCCATGCGGTGCTCCAGAGACAAGATGGCCCCGAATGGATTGTATCTCATTGGTGAGTATTGATTTTGTCTATTTTTTTTTTACTTTGTCGGAAAATTCAGTGTGCTTTGGATAAGTCGGCGTTTTTAATAATTCTATATGCTTGGATGTTATGTCAATCTTGCCAAACTGTAGATGAATTGACGGCGAATGTGTTCAAAATCATGATGGAGGAAATCCGTTTCACTCGAAACCCAGTAAATTAATACAGTTGAACCTCAAAACAAGCCCCTGTCTGGATTCCTTTGAAAACAATGTACAGTATTACAAACCTCCCTAATTCGAAGGCCCCCGCCTCCACCCTCTCAAACCTTCATAACTCGAATTTTCTGGAGACTCAAGAAAGATAAAAGCAATAAACATGTAACTTGAGTTTTGAAAGGAAGTGAAAGAGTAATTGAACGAAGGAGCCCTTGCCTTCGAGTTCAGCATCCTGTCGACTAATTTTTCTTCTGCAGTTCAAGGCCAACAAAAATTACACATTTTAGTTTCCTGTGACTCTTTGTATTTATGTCCAGAAAAGAATAGATGGCCCCGAATGGCCGTCTATTCTTTCCTATTCTCTAACTCGAAACCACCATGACGCGGATTTTTGTGCTGGTCCCCTGAAGTTCGACTTAACGAGGTTCGACTGTATAATAAATAATACCTCTATTATAATAACCCAATAAATTTGTATCCGCTCTGAACATAGCATCCTTTTAGTGGACAAGTGAAAAAAACCTAAGAATGAGAATTTTCGCACTGCATTTTGACTTCGTTGACTTCTCAAATTATGATTATGGTTGAAAATTTCATGAAGTATTGTACTCATTGAAATAAATAACTGAAGATGGGAAATGAAAAATTTTAAATAGAGTTTTGTTATTCGGAGAAAAATCAAAATTTTGGCGCCCTGAAGGGAACAACAGAATTAATATTTAATTATAATGAACAGATAAGGACGATGAATGGTTCGGAAAAGTAATTTCGCAACGCGCGGTAACTTCTTGGAGGTCCTTAATTATCAATCTTATTTTTTAATTATCAATTAATTAATTAATTATTAATTATCTCTTAATTATCAATAGAAATACCACACGAATCGTCCATATCCGCATTCTCGCCATCCAGTACCGGGTTTCGTGGGCGATGGGATAATGTTTTGCCTAATTCAGGTGAATGTTTCTTTCACGTAAGTAGCTTCAAAAGGTTGAATGATGCACTTCGTCAGCTTCTCAGCAGAATTCGGGGCCAAGCGAACGATCCGAACATACGCGATGCATTTTTGTTCGATTCTAATTGTAAAAATGTTCATTTTTTATGACCGGTCTGTCAATTGCACAAATGATGATATGCTGGATTACATTCTCGTTATAGTGAATGGGATCTACATGCTGATGTGGATTGGGAATGAGTTGAGTCCGGAGGTGATAATGGATGTGTTCGGAGTGAACTCAGTCGCCCAAATCGATACGGAAAGGTCCTTGTTGATTCGTCGAGAAAATGAGCGATCGATTGCTCTATGCCACATAGTAGACACGATACAAGAGCGAAGTCCTCGTAGCATGAGGGTGAGTTTTGCGAAATTCTTCCAGGTTTCCTCCCTTTTTACGCTATTTTTAATATGTCCGCACAACTATGATGTACTGGAATGAATGTACCCTTTATATTGTTCTTTTTTTTCAATTCAGTCATTGCTGTCGATTAGAATCCCCTCTAAAAGACTGGTGCTTTTTCTACACACCTACTGATAGCATGTAGTTTATATTCAAACGAAGATGATCTATTTAGTGAATTTCAGAAAACTTGAAATAATTGTTTCTACATTTCGAGAGGTTTAAGCAGTATCCTTGTGTGTCACTCTGCTGTCTTATATATTCTTGTAAACACCGTCTTTGAAAGAAGAACATCATAGTAGACATTCATAGCTTCAGTCATTACATTCATGTTAAGTAATGTTAAATTCATGAACAGTAATCATAAAGCGCAAGAATTTAAAAGTTGCTTGAACTGTGCCTACATGCGAGCCTGAGTTATGTTATTCTGAAATTTCTGCAATCTTTCAGAAATCGAATTAGGTCGATCGCTGTTGTACGTTACTCGGCTGCAATTATTTTAATCTATACATAATTTGAGATTCATCATAAGTTTAGAATTCTAGTGAATGTTGTTTGATCGTTCGTAAACTCTTCGTTCAAATTTCTATAGCTACGGATGGTTCGCCATAATGACAAAATGGAACGAGTTTTCATGAACTTCCTTGTGGAGGACCGAGGCTTGGCAGGAGCGGCTTCCTATGTGGATTTTTTGTGCCACATCCACAAGGAAGTAAGGAACGTGATGTCTTAGGACGCCTCCCTTCCTCGCCCCACGACCGTCAATTTCAGTACGTATCTTCGAGATCCGCGTAGTTGCTATAAGAATCCATTCCATTCATCCGACGACGACGATGACGACGGGATTGAAGACGACACTGATTACGGCTACAGGGATCCGTGCAGGAGAAATCCGCGAAAAGATTATTGGGACTGATGAAGTTCGGAGTAAAGCGTCAGTGTTCGTTGCATCGAAGTGTCTGGAAACATAATTGGAATATTTTCTTTCTCTTCGCGATTGTCTTGTCCGCTATGTTCTGCCATATCCCCAGCACTTTCCATGAGTTTCAGTGTCTTCCTTTTTGTTTGTCTTGAGAAATTCGCTTCTGCGTTCCTGACCTGAAGTGTAAAAGGGAAAACTGAGCGTTTTCTTGCTAGTGCCCTATCAATACTCCGTATGTCAAGCTTGGAATTCGTTGAGCTATGTTTGCTTGCAAGTACATCAAATGACCGAATATCTCCTTTGTGAGAGTTTAAAAATATCGAGCCATGATGTCCAAGGTTGGTTTGTTTCCGAAGCAGCCTTTTTATTGCAAATACAGATGTGGAACAAATTGGGAATGTTGGGGATAGCATCAAGAGCCATCTTCGTAAAATTTTGTGCGGTCTTTTTTGTGGTTATCTTTGTTCACCATTTAGAAACCAAAGGGGGAGGAAGGGTTTATTGTTTGTTTTTCTCAATGTATTTTCTAATTTCAGTTCGAATCCCTTGAACCCAATCGTTTCGACCAGAAGTGATTATTTTCTTGAGGATTCCGTGGATAATTTATTCTTATGACAATTTTTTTTTTCAGTCGGTTCGGTTTTTTTCTTCTTTTGTTGTCTTCTTGGTACATAAAGAGTGTCCTTAAATTCGGGAGATGTATTTTTCGATTCGGTTCCCTGTGTGTTTGAGGGATGTCCTACGAGTAATTTTTCTTAGCTTGTGATGACCGGATAATTCTGAAATGGATTGCAAGTCGTGAAACGATGGAATTCTGAGATTTTTTTGTGTGGAACCTCTGCAAGATGGGGAATATATATCCATACATGGGTTATTTTGATGCGAGGGTGTCATTCTTCCGAAGTTCAAATGTTTTAATTCTGATTCTCAGGACTCAGCTTAGTTTTAGAGTCTCGAGACATTTTGGTGAGCCATCTGCGTCAGACTTTAGAAGAAAGGGATGATATGGCTGACCAGTTTTGTGCCTGGTTCTGCGCTGCGTTACTTTCATATCCGTGTACAGTAGATGAGACGTTCTTGACATCTGCTCGAGAATCGAATTGATTTTTTTCAATATCAAGGAATTGCTGGTATCACGTATACTGCACTTCAAGCGGTTTCATGTAGTGTATTGAAAAGTCTGCTTATATTCTATTGTAAATATTCATTGAAAGATATGAACAGTTCGGACCAATCGTGTATAGCAGCACTAGATCTTGGATAAACTCGAACAAAATTTTCTTAACCGTCATCTTATGGATAATCTGGTCACAACGGAAATAACTTACGGATTCTCTCCCATCTATATTACCTTTACTGTTCAAATTATGATGTTCTTCATGTTTCACATATACTGTACAGTATTTATATTTTGCATTTGCTGAAGGTGGTACATAGAATAGAAGCACTACCCTGGAACCGTTCTAAAATCAGCACCCAATTGGAATAAAGTTCATTATCTTCCATCTTGTTTTTCATCGTGTATACAGCTACAAAAAGGCAGGGCTAGAATAAGTCATGTGAAGGTTAAGCGCTAATTCCATGTCTCTCCTTCGTTTGCCCCTAACATTTTGGCGACCTCAACCCCTCGAAAGCCACTATCCGTAGTTTTTCATTTCAGCGGAAAGATCGAAGTAACCTGTTCACAGCAGCAGATCATTTCAGAGGAAATCATCACCGTAGAGTGGAATCCATGTAGATGCGTAATACTTTACTGTACATTTCTCTGAACACTCAAACTCCGTGGCAACTTTTATTTTGAACTGAACTACGGTAGTTATTATTGTCAATTTATGATAATTTCCATGTTGAGATCATTTGACAAAATTGAACAAAAATTATTACTTAAGGATGCCCTGTGATTCCAAGGTGTCCTTAACCGGCAGCCGGGACGCCATTTTGGACAGCACGTCGATCGAAGGCGCTGAAGTGCTGGCGTGTCTTTACGCTTACGAGTTTCGAGATCGTTCCCGCGGTCTTCGTACATCTGCTATTTGAGTTTCATGAGATGTTTTGTGTCGTGATACTGATCCGATTGTGAGTGTATGTGAGTTTTGCTGAGTTCCCTAGTCTGATGAGAGTTTTTGTCCAACGACCCTGTTAAGGTGTTAGTGCGCATTGTTTACTGAGTGCCACGGGAGTTAGTTTATTGTGCATTATGGCAGAAACTGATTTTACGCAAGATTTTGCTGCCGATGAGATGCAAGACGCGTCCCAATACCAGACGAACGGCAGTAAAGCCGATTCGCAAGACGATGCAATGGAGGGTAGCGGTGATTCTAATCCAGCCCGTGAAGATGAAAGGTGAGGTGTTTGGAAAGATGTGAATGCTGCCTTGGTCGAAGTCTGATGAGCAATAAATTGGGTGGCGTTTTCGACGTTCGCATGAAATTCCTGTTTGCTTTCGTCCCTTACGTAATATTAATCGCCGAATATTTACGGCAGAACAACGTACGGAGTATTTCATGACTCCTTCAGCAGAAGTTAACCTCGAAGTTTTAGTCAAGTTTTGTGGCACATTCATCTGATGTATTGTACGGTGACCTTTAAATTTGTTGACTTAAATGAGATGTTGAGGGATCCTGACTATCAAATGCTATGCATTGTTGATGAGGAAGTGTTCAAACCTGCTATGTGTGGCTCCCGCAAAAGAGAGAAGCTCCCACCTGCTCGGCACGAGATAGGAATATGAGAAAGTTCCGGCTCGACAGCGCTGACGTGGTGTGACATTATGGGACCGACCCATGATAAGACGCTGATCCGCTTTTGACCATGCAGCTTCACCCCAGCGTCGCAGCATGGGAGTGGTTCGTCGTCGGTCATGGCGAGGAAGCTGACCGCTGCAGCCCTGGGACGCAGATGATTATACCCCGACTCGTCCACGGTATTTACTACCGCACCTGTTGTTTTTTTGTTGTTCCCAAATGCAAATCAGAAATTCGAGCTTGATCCAATCCAACCGATTTCTCCCGGGGCGCAAGTTTTGAGGTCGTCATGAATCGTCTACGCTTGTCTCTGCCGTCAAGTTTTGCGTGTAAAAGTATGCCTTGCGTCGCCTGCCTTGTTCAGCTATAGACTTCAAGAATGGCGCTGAAGTCGTTGATCCATTTGAACTCAGTTTGTCCGACATTTTTACGATATATGAATTTTTTCGCCGACGGACTTCTCGCTTTGCTCATTGAAAACAAATATTTTTTTATCTCTGGTTTCTGGTGACCATTTCAGCGTAGAAATTGTTTTGCTGATGCTTTCTCTTGGTTTACAGGAAGCTCTTCATTGGTGGCCTGAGCTGGGAAACCACGGACCGTGAGTAGTCTATTCACCATCTTATCATGATATCTTCACTTTCTATTTTCCTTAATTTACAATTGAGATACATGTTCATGCTGTTGTGGACAATTTTGGAATGAACAGGAAAAATCATCAAAGAATGATACGTTTCGAAGAAAAAATTACATTTCAGTTGAAGCGATCATCAAAGCTTCCTTATGCATTTTTTGACTCATTTTTTTAGTAAATTTTTCCGTGCATGCACATCATTTCTTTCATCTTCTGCTGCTTTATCGTATTTCGGTCCGTTCTACCTTGAAGCGATGTTCTTCATTTTGCGGTCTTTAAGAATTTCCCCTAATTATTCCCCATTCTTCCTCTAGATGATCTGAAGGAGTATTTTTCGAAGTACGGCGAAATAGAAAGTGTGAATGTCAAAACAGATCCAAATACCGGACGTTCACGAGGATTCGCTTTCATCATTTTCAAGACCGTGGAGCCTGTTGAAAAAGTAAACGTGACTGCTCTTGTAGAAGCGTAGATCGAATTCTAATTCGTTTCTTGGAGCAGGTTTTGTCAACGGCTGAACACACCATTGGCAAGAAGCGTGTTGAAGCGAAGAGAGCAAAAGCTAGACAAGGAAAGATATTTGTTGGCGGATTACCACCGGAAGTGCCAGAAGAAGACATTCGCGAATTTTTTGGGAAGTATGGAAAGGTACGTTTTTACGGAATTCCGGGATATGTACCTCAATTCCTTACATGCTGTGGTATAATTAAAATCCCGTTACGAGTAATTATTGTTCATGATGAATGTTACAGGTATCTGCTAGGTATCCTATGTTATTTCGATTTCATTTTAATGAAGCTTTTTCCTGGTTCGCTTTTCAAGATCTGATAGAATCTTTGGAAAGTTGAATACTGTTGCTAACTGCTGAGTTATGTTTCGAAATGAACTGTCTCATCATTCTAACGCAATATCTTTTTGCGTCGAATTTTTAGCGAGTTTCTCCCGAACCATCAACGTGATTTTTTTTTTTTTTTTTAATTCAGTAGAGCACTGCTCCGAGTGAACCTATGAAGTAGAAGAGATACTTTGCGGAATGGAATTGTGCGTTGCTTACACAATTTTTTTTATTTTACGATTTTCAGGTGGTAGAAGTTGAAATGCCGTTTGACAAAGTGAAAAATCAACGGAAAGGCTTTTGCTTCATCACGTATGACTCCGAAGAGATTGTGAAAGAGATCCTGAAAAACCCCAAACAGACAATTGGCGGGAAGGAAGTGGACGTGAAGAAAGCCACTCCAAGAGCAGACCCGATGGGATTCTCACGGGGCGGTCCTCAGGCTGGAATGCGAGGACGCGGAGGACCCCCTCGTGGTGCCCGTGGGGGACGAGGTGGCTGGGGTGGTCAGTTTTGGGGCGGCGATTACGATAATTATTCAGGCGGATACGGTACTTCACGCTTCCGCAGTGCGGCGATGTTTTGGAATGGAAACTGTTTCATAGCTGTAAATAGCGTCTTGGGAGGTGGTCGAAGATAGCTTTTCTACTCTAGCTTTTCCAATAAGTTGGGATTGTGACAATGACCGCCCGGTAGTCTGAAAGCTTTCCTTTTCGGGATCTTTAGATCTTTTTGGGCACTTAGATCCACTTTCCTGCTTGTTTTCAGCTGAGCCGAATACCCTCCCGAAGCACCTTGACCTTTCTCTTCTGAGAGGAGTTAAATCGTTCCACCTGTTTTTGCAGTCAGAGAACGGGGAAAAAGAAACGGCTGTTCTCGTTGAAGTTCCCTTTGTGCTAAATGTAGCCGTGTTTTTATGAATTTATAATTTTAGGTAGACCTCTTGTAGAGCCGTGCCCGAAGGAGAAAAGTTCAACCGTAATGAAAGCGTTTATTTTCAAGTACGAAATTTGTTGAGAGGAACCTGCTTTTGCATGATTCTCACTCCCTTTTCCATGGTTCCAGGTGCGTACTTTTTATCGATAATTTCTGGGATCATGAACCCTTCCGATCTTGAATTCAAAAGTACTGTACTGTACTATATTTTCTTGCGGAAAATTGATGAAATAGAGTGATTTCTTTGAAATAAATATTGTATAACCGTACGTATATTGAGGTCCTTGTACATTCCGTTGTACTCGGGTCCATTGCCAAAACTTGATCGCCTATTTTAGACGAGGAATTTCTTTGTGTTCGAAAATCGTAAACGCGGGCGTGTGGTGCATGTAAGTCCAGTATTTTCCCCAGTTTAACATGCCGAAATATGAAATCTGCTCATCATGGGCTTCTGGTTTCCTGTCAGTCCATCTGTAGAATGAACAGTAAGTTCAAAGTTGTCGTTTTACATCTGTCCAAGCTGTGGTTGTTGATTTTCTTAACTGAATCCCAAATTGATTCTGCCGAGCCGAATGGCCGAAACTCACTTTTCCCAGTCGGCTTTATGGTTATCTTATAGAAGTATGTAACGTTTTGTGCTTCAGGATTGAGTCCTCGGAATAATTCCTGTGAAACAATGCAAGGAAGTGGATCCAACCTTGCTCATCTGTTCTGAACAAATTTCAGTAAGCTTGGATCTTGCCTAATTCGTGAAAGAAAATGGGTCATCCTACGAGCAACCTAACTATGCCGTGTCGTATATCCATATACAGCATATATTTTTTGAATGAACGTGATCAGGCGTTCAATTATACGAACACCGAAGTTTCCACTCCCTTATGTCGTCTCATTGATTCCGCTTGAGTTCGTCGTCTTTGAATGTTTCTAATTTGTTCCGCTTTTCATTTAGGAGGCTACGGTGGTGGCGGTTATGATAACTATGGAGGTTACGGCGGTGGATATGGCGGCGGCGGCTACAATGCCGGGTACAACTATGGAGGATATGGGGGCGGCGGCTATGGCGGAGGATACGGCGATGGTGGTTACGGCCAAGGTGAGATTTGCAGTATTCTAAAACAGAGATTCTTATGAACTGCGTTTTGAGAGTCCTTTTCGTCGCCTTTTAGTACCGAATTTTTCAGGCTTATATTTACAAGGAGGTCATTCCAACGTTGACAAGCCTTTAGTTTGCCGCTTTTCTTCAAGAGTTAAAATCGATTTGGATGTTGAAATTCATGACTTTCATTTACGCTGAGTTCATGCCTAATCTAAAATTTACGCAATCTTGTCTTCTTTTTCCACAACGAGTTGTCGTAATTAGAGAATTTTCTTCAAGATTACGCTGTTGTTGGTGTAGGTGGCCTTTTTGACGGCCTCTTTTTTGGTGCATGTAAGCTGCAGCATTGTTCGATTATTATTTTCTGGTTGTCATCCTCAAAATTTGGCATTTGTCGAAGGTACGAAAGTTGATATTTTGGACGTGGAAAACTAATTGCGTAAGTCATTCCGAAATCCATTCGGATAATGTGAAGCTTTTGTTTTTCTGTGCGGCGGAACAGTTGAATTTCACGCAATTCCGAATAAAACAATTTCGAAAGAGCATGATCTCCCATTAGTTTCGCACATTTTTCTGACTTAGTCTCTTTCATGAGTATATCCTGGTTAGGTTTTTTTTACTTGAAGTGATGCATGATAATCTATGGGGTTTTATTTTCTTCAGAGGAAGAAGCAAAACCTAGCCTTGCAGCACAGGAAGAAACATTTAGACTTAATTTTCACCTAATGTAATTACAATATTTCGTTACTCTAAAATAGTCTGAAACTCTGTGAGCATCTAAGATTTGAGGGTATCTTTCAAGTGTCCGTTGAGCAGGTAAAATGCACATATTTGTGTAATTTTAGATTTTTGCTGGATAATATCAATTATTTGCATGTGAGGCGATTAATGACTCTCCAGGGGCAGTTCTTGTTAGCCACTGACATGTTTGCTGGGGTCGATCGATTTTCACTTACAGTTCAGCTGTTTCCAGCAGCCAGCCAGTCTTTTCCTGTTGCGTATTTCATTTGGTTCGATGCTTGAAGGCCTCTTAATCGATTTTGAAGAATTAATCCTTGATGTTTAAGGTTGTTGTACATAATTTTCGAAGAGGCCAAATCTATTGCCTCGTCTTGAGGGATTTTCATTTCTTTCATCATTATAATTGCTGCTCATTTTGTTCTACTCCACGTTCTTCCTTATAATTTTTTTGGCGCCTTCCCATCAAGGGCCGCGCGTCAACTTGAACGAAATCTATGGCAGAATTAATTAGTTGACGAATGAATCCGAAAGCAGGTATTTTATATGTACATGTTTTGGAGTTCGAGTGTCTTAAGAAGGATTAAAATTGTAAGGAACATCGAAATTACGTTTGTATGCATCGGGGCCCGAATGACCGGCTGTTTTCTGCGGAATCATCTTACTGCAAGTGGAAACGGATCCAACCGCCTTCTCGCATTTTATACGAGGGTTGTCTGATTTCCGCGCAAAGTGAAGTATTCAATGCAGTACCATATTATGGAGCCTTCGGGTGGGCAGTTCAATTTACAGGATGTTATTCCTTCTAAGATGAGTAGCGAAGATATTCGACACTTTTCCCGACTTCACGCGGAAACCAGGCAACCCTCGTGTTCGTTCGAGTGACTTATTCGTTTAATTCGTGATCATTTTAACGAAGGTAATTCCTGATGTCGGCAGGGCAGGGTGGAGCTCCGAGAGGCGGAGCTCGAGGACGTGGACAGCGATTCCAACCTTACTAGAATACTCAGGAGGTCGTGAATGAGTGGTTGATGACGTTTTGGTTACGTTGTGCGAGTGTCGCCGTCATTGCGTTTTTTTTTCGATTCCTGTCGATCGCGAGTGTGGAGCTTACAAGCTGCTTTTTTCAAGGTCATCTTTCTTTCAAGTTCTTTCAAATTTTCCACGTGTAGAAAAAGTCGGTTTTTTTTCTATTCTCATCGGAACATCGTCTTCGGTTCTGCATCCATTTCGTGACGATTGATTTAATTCTCGGAGGCGGTAATAAATTGTTCGTCGAGATTGTTGGCTAAACTTGGCTATCATTTTGTTTTCAAGTTTGCTAGTTGATCCGGTATTACATTATTTTTCTGTTGGCTTCTGCGTGCAGATTGTTCAGGAATGGAGGACGAGCTGCCGTATCGCGCGGAGTACGCGAAAAGCGGAAGGGCGTCATGTAAGAAGTGTAATACGAAAATTGATAAAGATGACCTGCGGCTTGCTGTCATGGCCAGGGTAAGCTTAAACTGGATTTTCTTTACCTCCGATTTTTACACTCTCCTTGTAACGTATTCCTCAAGTCTGCACGGTTTGATGGGATGCAAGCGCATTGGTTCCATATGGACTGCTTCTTCCCTCGAAAAGCTGGCATGAAAACTGAGGAGATCGCCCATTTTGAGCAGCTTCGCTGGGAGGACCAGGAACGGATTCGGAAAAGATTGGGTTAGTACATGTTAAGCAATCCTGAGGGAGCTCTTCAATGATCAAGTTTTGGGTTACGTGAGGGAATACGCCTGAACGGCGAAGACGACTTCGATTTATCGAAATATTGTTTCGATTCCAGATTTAATCTTTGCGGAAAACCATACTTCATTTACTAAGTATGTCTTGTGTCTTCAGCTTGAAATGAGAACAGTCCGCTTTAAAATATCATTTCCTTTCGTTGGGGCAATTTTTTGATGTTTCATTGATCAGCAACACACTCTAAGCTGTTCGATTTTAGGAAATCACGAAATTTTCGTACAGGTAGAAGTGACTTGAATCAAAGCATTCTTGGTAACTGTTTGCTGACTCGGCACAAAAAAATGGATACATTTTGGATAATTTTACATCAGATGCCACGACGGTGATCTGCTGTGATTGAATTCTACGGCCGGCAAGATTTTTTCTTTTCTCAATCTTGTGTCAGTCCTAGACTTGCCAGGTACTTAATCGACCTTTCGAAGATGTCACGGATTTTATGTCCTTGATTGACGATGTTGTTCGCATCGAAAAAGCTCAACATACTGTAGTAAATTTCTTATCTCACACCCCAAAAAAGTCTCACTACAGAAATTGAATTTTCGCGACTTGCAGAATTTCCCGAGTATTTTTTCGTTGCAGTGTTGGGTCACCGATAGATCATGCCGGTGAAAACAGGCGTCGAGTTTCGTCTAAAAGAAATGTACAACATATTATCTAAGGATTCTAGGGGATTCTTTGAAGAAATATGAACTGTAGAATTATATATTTTCATTTTACAATGAATATCTTCAAGAAACTTGTACTGTGAAAGAAACTCGGGTCAAGTTATCTATGCGTGATATTTCTCTTGAGATCATTCTTTTCGGATTAACACTTCATTCTCATTGCATGCGTCAGGAAAGTGTTCCGACTCGTCTTTGTTTTGATTCATCGTGGGCTTCATGTAATTCCTAATTCTTCGTGAAAATTCCGGCAAATATTTTATGGCGTTTGCGTTGCCTACATTATTTATTTACTGTATATTGTTACTGTTCCCAAAGTTTCTCTCGTATGGCTCATCGATTGAATTTGAAAATGTGGTTAACGTCGTACTGCATATCCTTGCAGAAGCCGGGGGAGATGCCCCCTCGAGTGCGAAGGGTAAGAAAGGCAAAGGAAAAGCTGCGGCAGGAGGACTGAACGACTTCTGCGTGGAATATGCGAAGTCAGGTCGTGCCAAATGTGTGGCTTGTACCGAACCTTTGGCCAAGGTATTTTTTTCAAATTTTCGTTTGACTCGCATTCTTTTCGGGTAAGAGCAGGCATCCCTCGATATGTGGTATCCACTCCTGTACCACACGCAACTCATCTCTTGAAATCCGGCGGGTTGCAGCGAGCTCTCCTTGTAGGATTGCAAATTATAAAGGGGCTTAAGGAGGTTTTTTGACCTTTTCTTAGTAAGGAAATTCATTAAGGTCATACTCCAGGCGCGTGTTGCACGAGTAGTTTTATGGTTACTTCAAGTTTAATGGTCTCGTACAATTCTTGCTCTTACGTGCCGTTAGGCGGAAGTTCTCCGTCGCTGTCGTGAGAACAGCATAAATTTTCAAGCAGCGTGGGATCGCAAAAATTTGTAATCCTTCCACCTTCCTCAGAATCCAAATTTCTTTCTTTCAAGAGTGTGCATTTTTAAAAATTTTTACACTATTTGAGAAATGCTGGGAGAATGCGTACATTGATCTGGTAACAATTGCGCTGAACAACTCGGAAGTTGATCGGTTTTTTCTTTTTACATATAGGATGAAGTTCGATTGGGCAAAAAAGATTACGATTCCGAAACTGCCCTCAGGTTTGGCCCGACTTTCAGATGGTACCATATTTTATGCTTCAAAGCAAATCGCGAGGAGCTGGGTTATACCGAAGCTGCGGATAAGCTTCCAGGATTCAAAACTCTGAAAGCTGAAGATCGTGACAATCTGAAAACCCAACTACCTCAGATGAAAGCGTTAGTTTGGTTTCTTCGCTTTGAATATTTCACGGGAAAGATAATTGCGCCGTATGGCGCGAGGGTTGTCTACTTTGTGATGCCCTGGGGGTTCGAGCCTTGTGTAGAGAAATCCGTGATAGTGGACTCGATACTTGAAAGGCTAATACAGTATTTGATAATTTTCTGACTGCTATGAGAAACATGTCCACACTAGTTGAAACAATAAGAAGTTCAAATTTAACACTACCTCTTCAATAATCCTGCGCGGGAAGACTAATACTGTAATAACAGTGTTTGTCAGAATTCTGCGCGGTCAAAATTTTTAAACCTTTTTTGCACAGATTGTAGAGTAAAAGTTTTGCAGTACAGTATTTCACATGACATCATTTCACTCGATTGCATGTGTACAGAGTGCATTAGTTCCTTATCCTTATTTTCTCTTCTTTTTCGCGGGCCCTTTTTTGATGAGGATGATGAAAGGGAGAAAATCACCGTCATGGTTTCATCCAAAATTAGTTTTCTATGAGTTGAGAACGAGGAGGGTCATCTCTAAATTTTTTGAATCGATTCGTAGTCAGAAAAGGAAAGCCGAGGATAGTGGCGATGTCCCTGATGCGCCCGCATCAAAAACAAGCAAGAACGAAGCTTCTGAAAAATTGGAGCATGTGAAAAAGAAGCAGAACAAACTGCTCTTTCAGTGTCGTGACAACCTGGAAAAGTTATCCAAGAACCAGCTCACGATGCTGTTTGAGTACAATCATTTGAGTGTTCCAAGTGGTGTACAAACTGTAAGGGAAATATTTACGTGAGAAATGTTGGGTTTTCAGTGACGGATCATTTTTTCGCTATTTGTAGATGCTAGACATCTTGGCCGACCATTTGGCGTTCGGAGTTCCAGAGAATTGTCCATTTTGTTCAAACGGGCAGTTGGTGTTCAGGTTCGTGTTCTCTTAAATCAGCTTATCTCTCGTGTTTTCCCCCGTAAATTTCTTGGCGTTGAAGACCAATCAAATTCATACTCAAAACCGTTTATTCCTCCGTCGAAAAAGAAATGACGTCATTGAAAGGGGAAAAAGGAAGTCATCGAGTCTATTTAGTGCTTCATTTGAAGCTTAGCTGTAAAATTTCGTCTAATCTACAGAAGATTGAATCTGAATTCAGGCCCACTCTCTGAATTCAATGCGCCTTGCGTTTATGCAATACAGCCCAAACTTTGATGTATTGAATTGAATAATCCTAATTCTAATGGCCCAGAATTATTTGCGTTTGATGACTGAGCTGGGCCAGTAATAACGAATCTGATATTTTTGAAATGGTATCCTATGGTATCCTTGTTTTAATGAATTTAGAATATTTGTTGGTTAGGACAAATACCATTTGCATGACATTTCGAAAGCAAGATTATTAATAGAAATCATCATAACAGGAAAGCCAAATTACCCAACGACATATTTGATTGAGTTTTATGATTGCAGAAGTGGCATTGGCTATTCATGTAAAGGCCATTTGAGCGAATGGAGCAAGTGCAGCGGAACTTTTGACGATCCCTCGAAGCAACCAATGAAAATCCCTGAAGAGCTGAAGAACGTCAATAGCTTCTTGGCGACTTTCAAACCCAAGGTCAGAACGAGGGCGTTCACAAAGGCCACAGAATTGTCAGCAAGTAGTCATCAAAATGGCAATTCTCAAAGCGAACTTTTCAATCCACGAAAACCTTTGATTAACTGGAAAGTACTTATGGTTGGAAAGTTTCCTGACAAGAAGGAGACTAAGAATACCGTCGTTGGCATGGGAGCCGAAATAACTTCAAAACTGGACACCGCGGTTACTGTTCTCATATCCACGAAGGGTTAGTTTTTTCATTGATGCTTATTATTCTTAGTTCACGCATTGCTTGATCGAATTTGATTTGATATTTGTCCTCACCCGTGTAAAGATTCTCAATGAATTGATGAGGTCCAATTCATGCAAACCCATATTTTGAATGCAAATAAAGGATACCAATTCGACGAAGATCCGTGACATGGGCATATTATGAGGCATAATCAGAGAACTGCATCCTCGCCGGAATACAGCGGAAGATGATTTCGAACAAACTTATCCATATAAGCGTCCTGAAGAGCTTCTGTTTTGTTTGCAGATTATTTTGACAAAACGGGCTCGAAGATAAAGGAAGCAGAGTCGAAGGGCGTCCCAGTTCTCAATGAAACGTTCATTGCTGCATGTCAAGAAAAATTACTGCCACCGTTAGAATTCTACAAAGAGCATCTGCTATCGACTTGGGACGCCGATTTACAAGCTCGCATCAGCGCGGTCGAACCGGCATTGAAGAGTGGATCAATTAAAAAGTCGTGTAAGTGTCAAATACTTTTTTTCACAGGAAGATCTGGTTAGAACGAAGCCTTTGGGACCTTGAAAGCACTTCCCATCAGGAAATGCTCTCTAAAAACCTTCTTATTTTTCCTGCTTACTGAAAAACACACTCATATATTTCTTCGATCTCCATTTCATATATTCTTCTCAGTTTTATTCCTGTCGGCTGAATTATGTTTTAGTACTTATGAGTAATGGTCGATTTAGGAGGCAGTAGTTGCGGGAAATTCTCGGCAGTATGGTCCCGCAATTGAAAAAAAAATTCCCACCTCCCGTTCATTACCTTATATATGTAAGGTAATCAACGGGCAAAATCTGTAGAATTGAAATGATTTTTATTACCATTTATATTATTCATGCATGTTCATAATTGAGTACTGTAGATTCCAACTTTCTGGCCTTGGTTAGGTATCACGCGGATTTTCAAATTTAATTGAGATATTACTTCGATGAAGTATCAGCTACTTGAATACAGACCAATACATTACAAACATAAATGAGGAAACTACCTAATGTGGGGTGTAGTCCAAAAGCCCCCCCTGCCAAAAGCCCCCCTAACTTTTTTTTTAATTGGATGCAAGTTTCTCCTCAATCACGACGTATACGTTCATTCTTGACTATCACTGATGGATATTTCACAGACAACACAAATACATTGATTGCATCACAACAATAAGAGTTTAGACAGAATTCATTGCATCAAAAGTCAGATAGAGTTTGGTTTCATTAGCCTGGTGATTGTGTGCTGTTGCCTTCAGAACTTCTTCATCATCCAGATCAGTCACTAAGGTGTCACAACAATAAGAGTTTAGACAGAATTCATTGCATCAAAAGTTGGATAGAGTTTGGTTTCATTAGCCTGGTGATTGTGTGCTGTTGCCTTCAGAACTTCTTCATCATCCAGATCAGTCACTAAGGCTCCTTTACAAGCATATCTCTTCCAGTTAGCACATTCCCAGCATCTAGTACTGGCTTTTTCATTCTTAACCGAGAATAAATAGCCATTGTAGTATGCCTTTTGACTGCCCTTCTGATTTTTGAAGATCCAGAGTGCACCAGCCATTGGATCAACTAGGTGAACTGTAGGTTTTGCAGAAATCAGCAAGTGATGGTGCTTTGACATTCAAAGAATCACTGATGACCACGGCAAAAAAGAATCCCTTTATATTCTCAACTTCAGAACATATTGGTTCTTACCCACCAGTAGCTTTCACCTTTCACCAGCCCCTTTCATGCTGGTGAAAGGTGCAGTTATGGTTAAGAATGCAAATCCCCAATTTCTGCACCAAGGGGGCAGAAACCAAATTCTATCCAACTTTTGATGCAATGACTTCTGTCTAAACTCTTATTGTTGTGACGCAATCAATGTATTTGTGTTGTCTGTGAACTATTTGTCAGTGATAGTCAAGAATGAATGTATACGTCATGATTGAGGAGAAACTTGCATCCAATTAAAAAAAAAGTTAGGGGNTTAATGTATTTGTGTTGTCTGTGAACTATTTGTCAGTGATAGTCAAGAATGAATGTATACGTCATGATTGAGGAGAAACTTGCATCCGATTAAAAAAAAAAGTTAGGGGGGCTTTTGACCTGGGGGGGCTTTAGGCGGGGGGGCTTTTGACCTAGGGGGGGCTTTTGGCAGGTGGGGCTTTTGGTTGGGTACCGTAATGTGACGCCAGCAGAAAATTCCAGGATGGATGGTCTTGCATTAAAGGAAGAAAAACCCCCAATTTGGAAGTGGTAGTTCGTATGGCGCTAAGATTAAAACTTGTTGGGCACCCGGGATAACCACGCATCAGACACTCATGGACTGCTTGTGTGTTTCAATGCAACCTCGAAAATTTAGTGTAACGATTTAGTTTTCCTTTTGTGATGTGATGAAATTTGCCTTTTGTTAGCCTCCAAATATGTGAAGAGCGAGAAGACGCAAAAGCTGAAGCTGAAAGGAGGAGCAGCTGTTGATCCCGACTCGAAGCTTGACCACAAGGCCCATGTTTACCGTTCTGGGAATGACTTATACTCCGCCGTATTGGGAAAAACGGATATTTCCACTGGACAAAATTCATTCTACAAGCTGCAATTGCTAGAAGCTGATTCCGGTCACCATTACTGGGTTTTTCGGGCTTGGGGTCGCATCGGGACAACTATCGGAGGAAACAAAGTGGATGACTTCGGATCTTCCCTGGATGATGCTTTGGAACTCTTCACGATGCATTACGAAGAGAAAAGCGGAAATTCGTGGAGAAACCACAAAGCATTCCAGAAGGTTCCCGGAAAAATGGCTCCATTAGAAATGCACGATGGCGACGTGAGTCTACGCTTTGAACAGAATTCCTATTGGGTCACAATTGAATGGTTTTCTGCTAATGCGTCGATAAAAATTAATATTTTTTACAACTTACTTTTCTGTTCTTATAAGTCAACTTGAATCCGTTTTAATTCGTAGGATGTGGATGCTCCGGCTCTACCGACGACACATTCCACCACATTGAAGCAAGAGGTAGAGAATCTGATTCGACTTATATTTGACGTCAAGAAAATGCGGGAAGCTATGCTGGAATTTGAGCTGGATCTCCAAAAGATGCCACTCGGGAAATTGAGCAAGAATCAAATTAAAAATGCGTATGCGGTTCTTTCAAATGCGCTCTTAGTTCTAGCTCTCCCTGATTCGGATAGCACGAGGAAAGCGAAGATAGTCGATTGCTCCAATCGGTGAGTGCATTCTTGTTGACCACAAAAATTCCGAACGATGTGTGAAAATGTAAATCTGTGTAGAATGTTTTGTATATTTCCCATGAAGCTGTGTCGAACACTGGCTGATGGGCTCATTGGGAAAATAGATCAAGTCCGAAAATCGCTTTGTACAAAAAACTAGCAACGTGAATTTAAATACTGAAAAGGCCTCGTCTGAACTACAATATACTGTGGTGCATAGATTACTTCTGAATTATTGAACAAGTGGGAATGCAGTTTGAAAAACGAATTTCATTCTGTCGAATTGCGACCTAAATATTCTATGTATAACATGATAAATAATACATTGTAAACAAAACGGTCAACGAGGTCACAAAAAATACTTTTTCATTCTTCAGTATCTCCATCAGCAGGACAAGGAAAGGTTCTCCAATGATGTGGTATCCATCTTGTCTTGTTCAATCCCCGCTCCCATCCTTGTGCTGAGGTCCAAGGGCTAAAGATACGTCATTCATGAAAAAAACAAAAATGGTAGCACAGTAATGAAATCAGAAATACATTTCTACAAAATGTACCTACTTTTCCCACGTCTTTTTGTGACTTCTTCGCTCTGATGGTCGCTGAGAAAGACACATGGTGAGAGACATCCCGCAAAAATTCCAAATGAGTCTTGTAGCCGTGGGATGACTGTTCATTATGATTTGCAACCGTGTTTTGAATTACCTTGTTTCTTGCAGTTGGAGTTCTGACTTCAATTGATTTTTCTCCTGATTGAACTCTTTCCAAATTTTTCCCTGAATGGTTTTTTTCAGCTTGAAGTGCCAACACAGTCTTGTTACGGTCCAGATGGTTCATGTCTCTTCGCAATGCTTGTCTTCTCGTATAATTTAATCTTCGAAAAACTGCTTTTCTTGTTCCACCCTCGAGAAGTGTTTCTGCGTCAGCGTCTCGGAATCCTTCTTCTATTGCCTTCCTAGTGGTGATTGCAGTGGTGACAACGTTGGCCTTCATCGAAATTAGGGCTTTTTTTGCCCCGAACTTCTCCGGTTCTACAGCATGAGAATGCTCTTCTACTATCACTGGAATTTCCCCAGTTTTATAATCAAGACCACTTTTCAAGCGACCTTTACAACCTTTTCTGTAACACCGCCAGCCCATTCCATCCTTGCGAGGTTTATCGAAGTTGTAAAAGTAGCCACGATAATGGAGCTGGGGATTATTTTTGTTATTTATCAATACTTCCATGATTGTATTCAAGTTTCAGCCTAAAAAAGAAGATGCTGTTAACAACCACATAAAATAACGTAAAGAAATGGACGTATTAAAATGACGCACTGTAAGCAAAAGTAACAAACACTTGAAAGTTTCAGCGAATAGGCACGTTTGTGTCACTTCAGGAGGCTAAGTTGTACTGTGAAAATCAGGAGGGAAGTGCACAGGTTATGTTCAGAGAAGATACAGAGATTCAACCTTGAAGTGGAGGGGGTGCAGGATAAAATCCCGTGGGAGAAAAAAATCCCGCGGCCCGAAAATCCCATGAGGCCGATAATCCCCTAGGCCAAAAAATTTCGCTGGGCTCCAGGATGAAATCCCGTAGGAGAAAAAATCCCGCGGCCTGAAAATCCCGTGAGGCCAATAATCCCGTAGGCCAAAAAATCTCGCGGAGTCCGAAATTCCCGTAGGTACAAAAATCCCGTATACAAAAAATTGTGATATTATCTCTGAGTTTTCTTTCCAATTGCCTGGGAGGAATGTGAATAGGGTGGATTATGAAATGGGGAAAGTGCAAGGGGTTTCTTTCCAAGGTTTAGGAATTACCTTTGTCAATAGAGCCTCAACTTCACTTCCTCACCTTTCTCCTGTGGAAACCTGAGAAAAATGTAACCTTCATTTGGATCAAGACTTTGTCCCTGCATTTGTTCTGTATATAAACTGTTCACTTTTCCAATTATTTTCAGTTCTACTTTGCCGTCGAAACATGAATTTTTACATAAAAAAAACCTCCTTTGATATCTACATATATGGTGTTGGTCTGTAAATAATTTCTAAATCATCAAAAAAGTCTAAATGCAGTTATATAAGTATATTTCATCTTGTCAAATTTCAATGTACAGCACATGATAGAGCATAACTTTTTTTTTTTAATTCAACAAGCCATTCAAATTAACAAGATTTCCACCCAAAGGCCACAGAAGAGTAAATGCAGTTGGAAGGAAAACTTAGAGATAATATCACAATTTTGTAGTGTACGGGATTTTTGTGCTACCGGATTTTCAGACCCTGCGAGATTTTTCGGCCTACAGGATAATTGGCCTCACGGGATTTTCCGGCCGCGGGATTTTTTCTCCTACGGGATTTTCTTCTGCACCCAAGTGGAGGTTATATCTTGCTCATGTTTCTGAAAAAGATAATCCTGAACTATCAAAACGGTTGGAAGGAAACCCTTTCACAATTTTATAATCCACAGGATTTTCGTTCCCTTCGCGATTTTCAGGCCAATGGGATTTACGAGCCGCGGGATTTTCTCCTGCGCCCCTATTGGATTTTTCATATTTATTTTGAATTTTTGATGTTGCATGATAGTGGATGTTCATTCATGTGTTGTAAAATTTTTCTCATTAACAAATTGATGGAAAAAATAGGTCGCCGTCAGCAATAGAAAGGGGTTTACTTTTTTAAAAACCTGAATGGTTTAACTTCATTAGTTGATGCAGCTATTGATGTAAATCTTGACGTATTTGAACACAAGTAATTAAATGTTGTTATTATCAAATCCCCAAGCTGTTTCATGCTTGACATTTTTGAGCGCATTGTCTAAATGATTACAGGATTGATGACTACTGTACTCTTCCCTCTCTAGGTTCTATACGATGATTCCGCACGACTTCGGGGTGGATAATCCTCCTCCGTTGGATTCTGAAGCTATCATACAGGCTAAGACCGAAATGCTGGATAATTTGCTGGAAATCGAAATCGCCTATCAAATGGTATCGAACGCCGAGAATACTGTTGACGATTATTACAAGCAGCTTCAAACGGACCTTAAAGTTGTGGATGAAACCGATGAAATCTACAAAACGATTTGCAAATACGTAGATCAAACCCACGCTGCCACACACGCAACTTACAAGCTTAAGGTGAGGATTGAGATTACGAGACTCTTTTTTTTAACTTGAAAATCTGTTTTGGAGAGTATACAACACCGGTATTTTGAAGTTCATGGTTTTGTCCGACGACTTGTGGATTTCAGTCCAGTCCAAATTGGAAAAAGTTCTTGATTATCACTGTTTTTCAAATCTCTGAAGTTTTCAACACGATACTGTAGTTCTAAACCGATATACCGTATATACTGTAAATATATATACAGTATATATATATATATATTCAAAATAGATTCTAAATCGATATAAAACAATGCAACGAAATACGTTTTCCATTTCTTGTGCACAGAAGAAGTTGGACTCCTTCAAACTCTTACAGTTTCTGATTCAGAAGGGAAGTTGTATTTTGACGAATTTAAGCTGAAACGTATGGCACTCCGGCGAAAGTGGTCTTCAAAATATCCGGGCTTTTTTTTTTTTAATGCAATAAAGTAGACGTCAATCATAAAGACCTAAAATGTTGAGGCTCTCGTAAAAACATAGTATTTTGTGACATGAACTGTTTCGATGTGGATTTCAAGGTTACTGATGATCGAAGTCTCCTCCTTAGGTGAAGAGCATCTTCTCGATTTCTCGTCAAGGCGAAGCGAAGCGTTTCAAGCCATTCAAGGATCTCCACAACAGGCAGCTCTTGTGGCACGGATCGCGATTGACCAACTACGCCGGCATTCTGAAGCAAGGCTTAAGAATCGCACCCCCGGAAGCTCCAGTGACGGGTTACATGTTTGGCAAGGGTATCTACTTCGCAGACATGGTGTCCAAGTCTGCCAATTACTGCTTCTCGACGCGTAAAAATCCGACTGGGTTGCTGCTGTTGTCTGAAGTGGCGTTGGGAGACATGCACGAGCTGAAAAATGCGAAAGACATAGTTCGACCACCCAAGGGAAAGCACAGTGTGAAAGGTGAGAACCGTTGGAGCCCTCCAGTTTTTTTTTTGTCACCTGAAGGGAGTTTCTGTCCGGCGGGATCGGCGTGCCAAGATAACGGCCGCACTTCTTCAAATATTTACTCCCTACTTCTGAACTTTCTCCCCTGTCCGTTCAGCCCCAACATGAGGCGGGTGCAGGAGAAATCCCCGTGGTAGAAAAATCCCGTGAGGCCATTAATCCTGTAAGCCACAAAATCTCGCGGGGTCCAATGATCCTGTATAATACGGAATTGTAAAATTGTGTTGGGGGGGGTCCTTCCATCCGTTTTGAAAGGAATGAAAATCCGGTGGATTATGATATTGTGAGAGTCAGTTGGAAGCTTTACCTTTTTCAAAAGAAAGGCGAGGAAGCCTTCACTTGACATTTGTTTTGAAAGTAAACCGTATAGGGTACTTTTCTTATGATTCTCACAGTTCAACTTTGCCTCTGAAGGATTTTTCTGATGCATAAAGTCATATTTCAAGATTTCCGTACCCCGCGAGATATTCAGGACATATTCACGAGATTTTAGACTTTTTAGAGCCACGGATTTTTACATGGATCCACATGAGACAAGGACAAAGTCGCGACGTTTCGTGGTGGGATCCCCTTCATTCTTTTAGTGATAATCTAAGAGATGTTGAAATAAAATATTTTTCAAGTCCCATAGATTCCCTAAATATTTTCTTCGACCATGATAATTGTCCTGAGAATTTCACGAGTACCCGAGAATTTTCCTGTCGCACACCACAATATCTCTAATAACTTCTGTGTTATCCCAAATTTCTAAATTTTCCTTCGGGTGAACGAAGGCATCCTTCGGCATTATAAATTTCTTCCTATTCCATTCGGCAGGAATTCCATTATAATTTTGTTCACATTCCAAAATGATAGCTATTGCTTTCATGCAAACGTTCGGGCGTCGAGTAGAACGTTAATCACACTGTACTTCGTTCACAGATGACACAGATTTCACATGCTGACGTAAGTTAGGAATGTAAAATAAATTGTCGATTATTTTACGATGATCTCGATAATTAGAGGCAAGGGTTTGATGTACAGTACGGCTCCATGATAAAATCCCGTAGGAGAAAAAACCCGCGGCCCGAAAATCCCGTAGACTACAAAAATTGTGATATTTTCTCGGAGTTTTCCTTCCACTGCCTGGGAGGAATGCAAATACTGTATGGTGGATTATAAAATGGTGAAATCCCTGACAGGATTTTCGGGCCGCGGGATTTTTTCTCCCACGGGATTTTCTCCTGCGCCCGTACAGTACACAACGAGAGGTCGTCCGTGAACATGTAGGCAATGTATCCCGTGGACAAATTACAGTGTGGTATTCAGAAACCGTATTTTAATCTGTAATATCTCTATGCAGGCATTGGAGGCACTGCTCCAGATCCCAAGGAAAACGTGGTTCTGAAAGACGGAGTGGTGGTTCCGCTGGGGAAACCCAAGGAGATGAAAGCTGCTCAATCGTCTCTTCTTTACAACGAATTCATTGTTTATGACGTGGCCCAGGTCCAAATTCGTTACCTGGTTCAAACGGAATTTGTTTACACGTAACTTTAAGATCAAATGACCACGTTTACAGACGGGCCTCTGGCGTGTCTGACTTTTGTGGCCCGAAAAAAGAAATGCTGGTGAGAGACAATGCCGAGAGAAAACGCCGCAGTCCGTAGAAATAATTGTTTGGTCCCTTTTAAGGCTCTAGATGGATTAGCTGTTTCAAATTAAGTCCCACAAGTACTGTTTACGGGTAGACGCATCCTCTGTTCAGTGTTACAGTATTATGCTATATTTGTTTACCTTGTTCTGCTTTAGAATTTTTGAAGTGATTATTGCCATTATTTTTCTGTAACTTCTCATTTTAATTCTCGCTTTTGGACTATTTGCTCAGACTGCATTTCTTCTATGTTCGTAATTTTCTTCGAAGTTTTTTCTGCTGTGTGACGTTTACTTCGTGCAAGGTGGTTTTTCTTACTAGCATTGTCTCCACCTGCGTTTTCTCCATGTTGGCAATGTCTCGCGGAGCTCTAAAATTGTAACGTTGGAGCTGTTTTTCCGGGTTGTAATGAATAAGTTCTTCATAACGCTTGCACGGGAGTGCGTGTTGGAATCTCTCGTTCATCAAGTGCGTCAATAATGCGGGTTTTGTCAATAATTGTTTGCCGCAGGCCGATTCTTTTTCTCGCGGTTTTAACGTGATCCAGATCAATTGATTTTCACATTTTTGAAGAATAAAACGAGTTCGAAATGATTGAAAGGGGTTTTTAATTCTTCCCTTGATTGTTAAACTCTCTAAGGACTTACAGTGAATGGATCAATCGCTTTTATACGAGGGTTGTCTTGTTCTCGCGTGAATTCCGAGTATTGGTGATAGAAGTCAGACGCGTGTTAATGATCAAGAGTAAGGTTTGTTCTTTCATTATTTTGGATTGAAGTAATTCTTCCGCTCACTTATTTTATTTTTCACTAGAACTAAATAACAGAATGGAGTCTACCTGCGTTGAACTAGTTTTCTGGTCTTCTTCCATACAAGGAAGACTACTAAGTGTTAGATTGTTAGATTCAGTGTAAGATTGTAGGTTTCTTTTGCCGAAGTAATTCGATTTGTACCTCGTCTTATTCACGCGGGAACTGCATGGGCGACACTCGTATTTATGCGATTAACTAATTCTTTTTTTTTAAACTCTAGTCCTGATGTCACGTTCTTTTACAGATGGAGTACGTCAGCAGCGATTAAATATTTGCAGGAAAACTTGTGTCATAAATAAGTGATAAGACGATTTGGCTACATTGCGTGTGTCACCGTCATCGCGTTGTTTCGAGCCTGTTGCTAGCGAGTTCGGAGAGTGTGAGTCCGTCTTTTTTTCAAACTCTCTTGATGGCAGCTGTGTGTTTTCCATACGACGTTTTACTGATGTAATTTTTACTTCCTTTGTACATGCATTACAGGAAATGTTGTACAGTAATAATAAAATGCTTTACTGTACAATATGCACTGAGGATGAACTGAACAGACAGCTAAAATTTGCTTTGGTAGATTTTGCACATGTGAAGGTTGGATATAGTCAATTAATCATTTCCATCTTATTGGACAGTGGATTTATTATCAGAAATGACTGAAGCATGTATACACCACCGTCTAGAAGTTCATTATTTTATCTCACCTTTCAATTTGTATTGAAGGCTCCAGCAATTTTTTTGGACAATTACTGTGAACACCTTCGTGGAAACGGCAGTTTTGATGTATTGTTTCCTTTATACAATTTTAAAAATTGCTACCGCTGACCTTGTAATCAAATTTTTTTTAGAGAAGTTCAGTCAGGTTGATAAGGTAAACTGATTACTCCGGTGCCTTTGTAATCGGCCGCTTTTGGGAAGGAACTGTGTGAAGAAATTCGGTGAAACCCCAGACGATGGACCAATGGACATATTTATGGTCCCAGCAATAAACATATAACGAGGATGCCCGAAGCTGTCACTCGGACTTTATTTTTTCGTCCGCGGCATGTTCTCCTCTTTGCTAACAAATTGTCTTAAGAGAAGTTCTTCTAGTGGGCGTTTTGAAAAAATCTGTATAGCTCAAATGTAAGGAACTATTCAGCATTTGCGAATTTAAGGCAGTCAACATTCCCGGACAGCTCAAGTCGGCTTAAGCCGGGTGTAGTCCAAAAGCCTCCCTGCCAAAAGGGTCCTAGGAATGGTTTCCTACTATATTATCCCACATTGTTCAACCCAAAAGGATTAAACCGTCTGGTCCTTCGCCAGGAGGGTACCCGGTAAACAACGCAGGTTGAAAACGACGCAAGAAGGGCTTAAGCCTTTGAAATCCTCTCTGGCGCCGTTCTGAGGTTGCAGTCAGCGGTCAGTCTTGCCAACAATATTTCAGTAAATTAACTGCACTCCAGGTGCC